CTCAGACATTTTTTGCACACTTCAATTCAAGATGATAACACTCAAAAAGAAGAACTTTGTTGTCAGTACAATCATACACGAATATACAATGAAACTGCATGGGAGTGACCAAGACACTGAGGACATAAGCTCTCTTTAAAAAGGGGTTCTTTGGAGCATTGCCATAGAATTCAACTTTTTGTTCTCTAAAGAATCTTTGAGTTGAGTCGTTTCAAGAGCTGTCCACTGAAAGGTTCTTTAGGGAAACAAAAGTGGTCTCTCTATAGCATTGCTGTTATCTTTCACTGATATTAGACCAAAACCTGATATCTCCAAAATGGTAACTTTACAGAAGAAGGGGAAAAAAAACTTTGATTTTTATTAAATCTGCTTAATTTAAAATAATTTATTTAAATAAAATCAAAATGATTTATTACAGTTTAATATGAAAAGTCATAATTGCTCAGAAAGGTAGTGATGGTAACCAGACGTCTGAAGAGTTTAATGTCTCCAAAAGCTTCCTCAAAAGTTATTACATAAAATGGTTACATGTATACTTCCTGATGTCTGAGACATTGTTTTATGGTAGTTTTGAGATTAGCTTTGGACCTAAAAAACTTTTTTTTTGTTATCCATTCATGATGGAGGGGTACATGTAGGGTGTTGTGAGACAAAATAGTTCCCAAAGAAATTTTGTTTTTCAGATTTACCACTGTTTTACCATTATCATTGCATGCAGAAACTCAGAAGTGGATCATAAACAAAATGGCTGATAACTGTGTTGTAGACATCACAACTCCTGGTTCCTATCAGCACAACTGTAAAGAAATCTGAGCTGATAAGTTTCTCTACAATGAACCACTTCACATCAAAACAGTCTGCATGACTTTTGAATGAATTATAAAGGCAATTTAAAAAATCATAAGGTTCCACTTTAATGTAATGAGATATTGAGTAATTAAGTAAGACTAATTCTGTTTGTTTATTCGACATGACATTTTGACACAACATAAAGGGCAGCTTTACAAAAAAAACAAAAACAAAAAAAAACAAGATTTAATTTATGACAGTGACATTTGAAGAGTGCATGCAGTTCAGTGCTAAATTTATTGAACAGTAAACACACAGTGCACAACTAGGCTCAAAACACAACAATAAATACACTATAATAATTATACAGCACATCACAATTTGAGACAGATAAAATATATGAGAATGTGGTGAACAAAAACAAACCTGGGTAGATTCACTGTGAAAATTAGAAGTAAACTGTAACACCAGCATTGCTTAGTCTAAGTGAATGGTAGCCCATCACAGATAGCATCATAATAATATATTACACCAGCAACCTGTTCATTAGATTGCTGGTATAACGTATTATTGTGCTGCTATCTATAATAGGCTACCTATCACATGTTGAACATGCATAAACAATAGTCACTGATAATTTTGTTCCAGAAAAGCCACAAGAATGTGACATGTGGTCACCATATACACCAAAGCACATTTTCAAACCCTTGATATTAAGCCATTAAAGGTTTAGCTTCACTTGTGAAATGCTTTTATATAATACAGTCTTCAGATGTAACGTTCCTAAATTGTTTTTGGCTTGAAAGATCTCATTCAAAGAACCATCAATTGAAAGGGTGCTTAGGAAAACAAAAGAACCTTTTTCAGCATTTTCTTTTATAAGAGTGGCCACTTGTGTTTTCATATGCACATATTTAAAATCTTTATCATAAACTGAATGCCTTAAAGGTGAATTCCACCATTTTCTTATTTCTACATAATTAAATCATTAAGATGGAAACAACATCATTTAAAGTGATTCAGTGTGAAATGCTCAATTTTTTGAGAAACTTGCCTGAATTGCTCATAGTGGTGGTGACAGGAACCAGACGTCCAATGAGCTTAATGCCTATAATAGCTGCCTCACAGAAAATAACTTTCTACATGAAATTACATTACATATTATATTCTTAGTGTAGAGGTACATGCAGGGTGTTGCAAGGTAAGAAAATACCAAAAGATATACATATATGTATGTATAGACATGTAGGTTCACTGGTGGTTTTGGAGCATAAAGAAATGGTTGTATTTGTGTTGTAGACATCATGACTCCTGGTTCCTATTACCACCACTGTAAGGAAAACTGAGTGGGTAAGTTTCTCTGCAATGCACCATTTCACATCAAACCACTCTGAATGACTTTATTTAAATCTCAATGACTAAATTATATGCAAATATTTTGAAAAATAAGATAATAGGGATTATAACTCACCTACACTCTTGAAAAATAAAGGTGAAAAAAAGAGTCCTTTGGAGTCCATGGAAGAGCTACTTTTAGAACTTTTCACTGGATGTTTTTTAATGAGGTGTGTGAGTGTGAGGAATCTTTTTTAAAGTTTAAAGAACCTCCATATACGTAAATAAGTTTTACCAAATAAAGGTATCCCTAGAACCGTACGTCTGATCCAAGAATCATTTAGGAACCTTTATTTACAAGGCTGTAAAGAAAACTGTGTGGCCTGTGTTGGGAGAAAACAGCCAGCTCAAAACACAATAAAGAATCTGCTCTCTGCAAAGATCTTGCTCTATAAAACTTTGCATATTCTAAGAGAACATTTTCGTCTAGAGCTGAGAAACCGCTGCTTGAACATAATGTGCACATTGCCTTTTCTCTGTGACCTAGTGTCACCCTTGTTGAATAATACAGCAAGAAGTAAGATAGGCCTACAGTATGATGTGCGTGTTGTAACATATTTGTGTAGACTAGGACTACGTGACAAACTGTGGCTAACAGTAACTGACATGACAAACATTGTCTATCTTGTACCAGGAGTGACGTGAAAGTGGAGATATCAAAAGAAGCCAACTGCTGACAAATCACATGGCAATAACCACCCTCCTGACACTTATTGCATATTAATTACAGTCATTAATAGACAGATAATAACTGGTCAAGCCTTCTCTGTCAATTATCAATCTCTGTTATTATCAAGTTCCTTAAAAACATGCACAGAATATGATTAACAGGGTTTCAAGGACAAAGATTAAAGAGTTTCAACCAAATCTTAGCTATTAATAATCTAGTCTCCAGAAGAAAGTCAGTCACATTTTTTTTCCCAAAGAATTTAAAATGAGACTGACTGATGATGCAACTTCATCCGTAAAGAATGAGTTCCAAACTAAATTCCAAAAGCGTTTAGGCTCATCCAAAACCTACAAACAGTCAAGCAAGACTGTAAATGTCTGGAGATTTGAAGGATACGTAAGTCTAAAAGCACAATGCCCCAGCTACAATGTACAATACCCCAACCATAACTGCACAATATATCCATAAAGTGGATACATCTATGATTTTTCCAACTGAGCACAACATTGGCATTACTAAACCAAGCTCGCCTGCCAAGAACTGTAGTTCAAACCCTGAAAGTGGCAGTGCGAAGACCCAAATGGTGGTGTTTTCGAAAAAGTTTATACAGGCTGTTGGGCTCCTTCCACATAACGTACAGCATCAAATCATGTACAACAGCCTTGAAGACTAAATAAACAAAAGTGAGACAACTATGTCTGCAAACCTGGAATGTTCCCGAAGATAATTATCACATAGTCTAAGCAGGTTATGTAAGCCAGCCTTAACAAAATCAGTAGACAACAGGCTGTATATTACCCATGCTCATGTAGCTAATCGAACTTTACCATCCCTATTATATTAACAATAAAACACTAAACTGAAATCTTTGTGGTGTTAATGGAGGTAGTGAATTGAACACTAAAGCAGCGCACCACAACTAATTAACACATTATTAAATAAGCAGTTGAATAATTACAAAACAATTAAACATAACAGTTGAATCATTACACATAATTGATTCATTACTCTACAGTAGATGTTCTAGGTGATACAAAATAATCAAAGAAAATGTAAAGAGATATTGGCTTGTACAAATCTGCACACATACACATTACAGTTGTTTTATTACACATTTTGGAGATTTTATAAATAATATAAAGTGATCAAAAAAGGATTCAGCATGAAGAGATTTCTCATGCTTCACTTGTGTGATGGCAAACAGCAGACAATTACATAAAAGAGTGCTGTACTGGATAGACAGAAATGGCACAAAATAATCATTACTATGCCAACTTGGAAGAATGTGGTGCACTGGCAGAGATTACGTGGCTGATTAGAATAGTGGTTAAATGCTGCACCCTTGTGGTCAACATTGTGAACTGGTCTGCTTGTACCAAAAAAACTTAGGGGTTTTAATATTAAAACTACAACTTATTTTAAGCAATTATCCAGTATTTAAATGTAGCCTTTTTGTGAATTTGATATAAAAAATTGAAATTTTTGATATAAATTTCACCCCCCAGTCTGTATGCTCCAAATATGAAAAAAATCTCCAAATTTTAATTCTTGCCTAATCTCCGCCCATTCAGGTTGAAGTTATAAGGAGTGTTTCAGCCTGGACAACTTTCTGAATGAGGCCCCTGCTGAGAAAACCCATAGATACCATTAAGTGATCCTATTAGTTCCGAATGGTTTTGTAATGTGTTTTGGTTTTTAATGGGTGGATATCACAGTGTAAATGATCCTAGTGGTTTAACAGGTGATCAATGGCTGATTCTAAATGCATTTGATGGCTTCCTACTGGGATCTAAAGGTGTTCTACAGGAAACTAGTGGTCTCTATTGAAAAAAAACATTATGCCAATTCCCATAATAAAGCAAAATCATCAGGTTTTAATCCTAGTTTCTAATGGTCCTTTTTTTAGCAGGGGAGCCACTGAGAATAGATGTAATTTACATATATCAGTCTGAAAAGCACAGTAACAAAAATAACAGTCAGTTTAATTCTAAGAAATAAACAGAGGTCGAAAAATTGTCATGTAAAATGAATTACGTTGTTACTGTTTAGGTAGAAAATGTGGCACAAATCGTCTTTAATGTAATCCCACTGACAGCGTGGCGCTGGTAATTTAACTCTTCTCTATTCTTTACATGCACATTTGTAGGCTTCCATAAACAGACGTCTGGTCGGCAAAGAGTTACGCACTGACGTCACTACGTCCGTACGTGCTATGTCATCGCCACCGGTGCACTTCCTTCATCCGGGTAGTAGATTTTGAGGTGAGTACAGCTTCTTTGCTGAAGCTTTGTTTTGAGTTTTTACAGATAAATCTGATTACCTAACTTCTTATTTTGCCGTGTTTAAAACAAATGTCCGCGTCTGTGTGATGGTATGTAGATGTGTCCGTCTCTGTGTCGTATCGCTCTCGTCAAGCCTGGCCTGTGTGCTCGTTCATTATCAGGATGCTAACGTTCCTGCTAGCTCTACTATCGCTACGTCACTCAACACGGACGGGTTTTACAACAGTCAATATAAAGGGTGGATTTTATCAGCTAGCTAGTTTATTCTTTTGCTACATGGTGTTCTGTGTTTTTTTTACATTTGTAGGTCTGTCCATTTGTCATCCCGAGAGACGTCCTCGTTCCGCAGTCTGTTGAGATGGAGTGGCTCCGTGGCTGCAGTGGGAGGCTGCTGGTGCTGGTGCAGGTGCTGCTGTGGGGCTGGGTGAGGGGCTCCGAGCTCACCTTCGAGCTGCCCGACAACGCCAAGCAGTGTTTCTACGAGGACATTACAATAGGCACGAAGTGCACCCTCGAGTTTCAGGTCAGTGAAGCTGTTTGCAACTTGACAAGCGGTCAGACTCGTCTTACCCCTTTGAAAAGGATACGTGGCATTTGTTACAGTGGTAAATACACAGTATGTCCACAGTGGAGCTGCAACAAACGACTTTTTTTTCATAATCGGTTAGTGGGTCCATTATAAATTATGAGTAATTGATTAGTTGCGAAACAAATACCTGCATATATTAGTCTGGTGATTGTTTAATTCCACAAATTAAAAATACATGGATTACTCTCTCTTCATAAAAAAAAACAAAAAAAACATTAAAGCATCTTATCATCTTTTAGAAAGGGCTTTTATCAAGGGCATAGTATAATGTGATTCATTGCCAATAATTTTTTATTTTTGACATTATTGAGTATACCCCTAGTCTAAACATTTGTAGAAATCTGATCAGTGTTTTTTTTTTTTTTTGTTTTTTTCCTCCTCGAATCAAAGGTATTAACGTGGAGTTTGTCACTGCTTTACTGCAGTAACAGCCTCTGCTCAACTGGGAATTTGGTTAGATGATTAGAGATTAGATGAGCTAGGTGTTGGAACATTGCTGTGAGGGATTCAAGAATAAAGATTTGATTGTATTTAGCCACAAGTGCATTAGTGAGGTCAGGTACTGATGTTTGATGATGAGAAATGTCTCTCTAGTTCATCCCAGAGGTATTAGATTGAGCTCTGTCACTGCTAATCATGCAGTTCTGCTGCTCCACAGCCCATTGATGGGGGGCTTTATATGCCTTTAGATAACACTTGGCATTGGGCCTGGGCCACTCCAGAGCGTCACATTCTATTAACAGTGCTTTTCTGTTTAGATTATACAAGCTGTGTGTGCACAACTGGACATGTGTTAGCAATGGGAGCACCTTAAAGTAGCTGAATTCACTAATTAGAAAGGGTGTCTGTATAGTTTATGTACAAACACAGTATGTCTATAATAGGACACTGGGGTACATTTTTGTCTTATGAACAGCTTTAGTCTTTTCTGAAATGCTTTTATGCTAGTTTGTATTTTGCAAGAGAACAGATCTAATGTGACTTCCAGAAGAGATTAAAAGAATTCACCTGTGTCAGTTGTCCGAAAGGCTCAGATTGCCTTAATATAATGTTCAAAGCAGTACTCTTCCATTTGACAATGTTAAAAAATATAAGCTTTATAAAGCTCTAGAGAAAAGTTTTAAGGAATGTTCCAGCATAACAGACCTCCAGCTGCTGAATTTGTAGCATATGGACAACAATGGGCAGTTGTTTAAGGATTGGTTATAGGTTTAAAAACTCTGGAGTGTTCCTTTAAGGGTCGCTACAGTGTGTTGGCTTCTATTATAAATGTGATTTATGTGAACTGATTTCCTGTTATTTTGCTAATTTCAGGTGTAGCCTATCGAAATGAGTCTGAGGTGATTTATTGAACAATGGAGTATTAAAATTAAATATACATACTTTTTGGGTAGGTCGTGACTGGAGGCCACTATGACGTCGACTGTCGTCTGGAGGATCCGGATGGTACAGTTCTATACAAAGAGATGAAGAAGCAGTATGACAGTTTTACATTCACAGCTGCCAAAAATGGCACCTACAAGTTCTGTTTCAGCAACGAATTCTCCACCTTTACCCACAAGACTGTGTACTTTGACTTTCAAGTTGGTGAAGATCCTCCACTTTTCCCCAATGAAAACAGAGTGACAGCACTCACTCAGGTATGTGTTTCACAAATGTGATTACTCCTTATCTCTTCAGAAAGTTGGTAGGCTAGGCAGCCTTGTAAGTTGAGAACTTTTTCTACATCATTACCAGTAGCACTGTTTATTAGCAAACTTATTAGATGTATGTGTTGTGTGTACATTGCAGAAAATGCCCTCAACCCTAGTATTTCTTCTTTGTTTCAGATGGAATCTGCATGTGTCTCTATCCACGAAGCCCTGAAGTCAGTGATTGACTATCAGACACACTTCCGTCTGAGGGAGGCTCAGGGCCGCAGCAGAGCAGAGGACCTCAACACCAGAGTGGCGTTCTGGTCCATCGGCGAGGCTTTCATCCTGCTGGTGGTCAGTATCAGTCAGGTTGTTCTGCTGAGGAGCTTCTTTTCAGACAAGAAAACCACCACAACTCGTGTGGGATCCTAACGTCCCCAGGTCATCGTTAATTTCGGTCTCTCTCTCTCTCTCACACACACACACAAGGGACTAAAGGCATCCATAGATATCGTGGTCTGTTGTCAAATTTTAGGACTCCATACACAAGATTATTTAAAGATGTTATTGTTTGGCCTCGCATCTTTTAGCCCTATGTATTGATTTAGGTTTCATATCCTTTGAGTGCTATTTTCAATGTTAAGAAGTAAACATCTTAATTTATTATGTGGGTGTGCATTTAATTTTTACACTGTTAGAAAACATTTAAAGGTTTGTTTTGTTCATTGGGTAATTTGAGACCTACTTAACACACACTTTGCTCTTCAGATGTTGTAAAAGAAATTATAAACTGCTCATGGTGCATGGTGCTCAATCAGATGTTAGCGGTAGGACTTCACAGTATTATTTATGTCAAAAAAAAATATTGGCCACCAATTACCCAATATGCTTCCAAATGGTCATTTAGAAGTATATTGGCTCTATCAGATGTGTGAAAAAAAAGAAGTAATTTTAGTTTTAAGCTCATTTGTGCTTCTCATGTCTTTTGGTCTTTTGCTTTTTGTGATTCCTTATTGTTACCTTTGTGTAGTGGTGTAGGCACATGTATTCTTTTCTCCTTTGGTGCAGTCATCTGCTTGCTGATACTTAGCTGTTACATTTTTGAAAGATCCTCAGAGTCCAAAAAGTCATTTTTTTTCTACAGCAAAATATGGATAGCAGGCATTTTTAAAAGATATATAATCTTGGAGATTCATAGCAAACATATACCTACAGGTGGTCAGAGTATTCTCTTTATTCAATATTATTTTTTTCCCATTTTCTGATTGTGTTTTGATGGTTGCGCCCAAATAACAACCTTCAGTCAATATGCGGAGACACTCCAGAAGGTTTAGAATTGAGTTTGAATGACTGCGTGTAGAGGATCTTATATTGCAGTGGTCTTTTTCTTGCTCAGGGATTAAGCCTAATCCTGGACTGCATTTTCCTTTAAACAGAGTATTTGCGTTCAGGAAGTTGTATAGTCTAGGATTAGGCTTAGTTTAGGCAGAAGACTACCTTGTCTTTAGTAACCTGACTCCAGTCTAAAAAGGATTTCTCCAACCCACCCCTGTTCCTGGAGAACCGTCCTCCTGTGGGGTTCAGCTCCATTCCTGGTTTAACATGCCTTGCTCTTAGCATTCAGATGCTCTTGAAGACCCTAATGAAGCATGCCAGATGAACTCCAGCAGAAGGGTAGTGTTCTTTGAAGATTCCAGAGTTTAATTTCATTTGGGCTCCACAACCACATCATAGGCTGTGGAGTCTACATAACAATACGCAAAATTGTCAGAGGCACTGGATTTATTTTTTGTGAGTGTGGTCATTGGATTTAAACAAAAAATGAAATTTCTTTCAGCCAAAGATCACTATTCTGTGATTAGAGGATTTCTTTGGTTTTAATTTCATATAATGTAGACAGGAATGTGTGAAACACTACCACCAAGTATATGCTGAAAGGAAGCAAATGCTTCACTAAGGTAAGGAAACAACATTTCGTGCATAGATAAGTTTTTACTAAATGTTTGCAAAAAAATTACAAATATGTGAGTTGTAAGAAACCCCAGAGTTGCAGCAGAGCAGAACACCTCCACTTTTCAGTGGCATTCTGGTGCCATCAAGGAGGCTTTCATTCTGCTGGTGGTCAGTATGAGTATGAAAGCCGTTATTTTGGTAGTACGGGAAGGTACCGTTTCTTTTAGACATGTCTGTCGGTAAGCAGCTGTTCAAGGAAATTAAACCACCCCTTGCTCTTATCAGAATGCCTACAGCTTTCTACAGGGAAAGGGTGATTATCAACAAAAAATGTTTGGGTTGAATTATCAAATTTAAACTATTAGCACAAAAGTTCCAAAATGATTTGTTGCAGAAGTTTTCTATCTGTAGTGATATAAGGTTAAGTGTGGGTTAAGTAGTATTCTTCATACTGCAGATTGTGTTGAGTAGTTTGTTGCTTTTCATGAAACAGCTTTACAGAAGGTTGCTCTAATTATAAGTTCATCTTTGGTCGTTAAAGTTTTTTTCCTGACAATGTTCATTGTACACTGGTTTATTTTTGAGAATCTCATTGTACACTGATTTATTCAGACATTAGCTTGTGAACAAGAGACCTTGTATGCTTCTTCACATCAACAGCCACTCTGTTGTATGGCAGTGATTTCTAGTGTACAGAATCAATAAATCTGTGATCCATATAACCTGGTCTTATTGGTCTTTTTTTTGTTTTTGCTCTCTGAATGATCTGTTGATCTTATTAACCACTAGAGGTCAATACATTCAAGTGAAAGTAGTGTTGATAAGGTTAATGTAAGCAGCCTATTCCTTGTCGTTTTACTTCTGGTGTCCTGTTACCTTCAGCTATACATGAGATGTAATCATGGGGGAGTTCCACTGAGTTTTCAGATTTTCCGCATATTTCGGGGGTTAAGATGTAAACATTCATTCAGAGTGATTTGATGTGAAATGGTGTATTGTAGAGAAACTTACAGACTCTTTATAATGTAGATTTCCTTACAGTGGCAGTAATAGGAACCAGGGGTCACAATATCTGTAACACACAGCAATTTTACTGGCAAATCTGAAAAAAGAAAATCTTTTTTCTTTACAATACGTTGCATGTACCTCTCCACCATGAATTGAATATTAAAAAAAAGTTTTGGACCAAATCCTTTTCTCAAAACTATTATTATGTAATGTCTCAGACTCAGGCAACATATTTATAACCATTTTGTGTAGTAACTTTTTGTGAGGTAGCTTTTAGAGGCATTAAACGAGGGCTACCCAAAGATGGCCTGTAAAGACATTTAGTTTGACCCTCTAGAAAGTTACACCAATCCTCCTCACTAAACATCTTATTTTACTTTTAGGAATGTATTTTGAGGAAGTAGTAAGGAATGTCGCAGGTTGAAATCTAGCCTCTTTAATTTAATGTCGTTTTTTTGGGCCTCGTCCCAAAAAGTTTGGTCACCCTTGTGTTAATTACTTAAGGCGTCTGGTTCCTATCACCACTGCTGTTAACAATTCTGACTTAGTATGTTTCTCTAGAACGGAGCATATCACACCAACCCACACTGAATAACTTTGTTTACATGTAAATGATTTAATTGTGCTGACATTTTGAAAAATCGGCGTAATTCCCCTTTAAAACCGGACTAAAACGGGACTGTGTTGGCTTCTTTATGAATGCTCCGGGACCGCGTTAATAAAGTAACTGAAGGCAGTTACTTTTCCCTTTTATAACTTAAGGGTCTATTCGACGGTTCTTTACAGCCGTGACACAGCACAACTTCTTAAACTAATTGTCGTGACCACCTTCAAGTCCGTGTTTACGTTACGTCGACACTGCGCCGCGGGAGCCTCTTCTGATTGGGTCGGTTTGGTGTCGATATCAAACGGGGCGGGAGCGACTCGGCTTTAACAGAGAAGCTACCGACCAGCAAGCGCAGATGGCAGTACGCGCTTCATTAACAGCTAGGGGAATTAAACATTAGTAACGCGTCCAGAAAAGATAAGGAACTGATCATCACAGTCGCGGAGTTGATTTGACGAAATAAACGAAACAAAACCGAAGGGCTGTGCTCCTATTTAACGTTAGCGCCGCGAGCTCGCTAAGCTCGTTTAGCCTTCAGCTGGCCGAGCAGTTGGCAGCAGGAAGCAGGAGGAGAAGCGGGGGTGGACAGCCGCGGAGGAATTCCAGCAGGAGGATTTTCACCAAATTGGCCTCGATATTCTCCGAAACCACTAATTATGGACCAAATTTCGGCAGCGGTCATGGATATCAGTGTCTTCGAGCTGCCATGATTACGTTAACGTTAGTCAAGTGAGGTGTGAAAACCGAGAAGCGGATTTGGCTGCGAGCGACGTCGAGGACCCGACGACAAAAAGGTAGAAGTCAGCCACTCTTTCCGTCCACTGAATACTGTTAGCTAGTGAAAAAAGGGTTAGCCATTAGCCTTTTTAACTGTTGTTGTTTTCTGTATAATGAACTGAGAATTGACCAAATAAATGTGCGAACTGGGGTTGGTTAATAATGTTATGTAGCTTAGCTAGCTATTTCTGGGTTGGCCCTAAAGCCAAACAGACACAGCTAGCTAGGTTAGCTAAGCAGCTTAGCTAGTGTTGGCTAACCTATCACATAGTGTTTGAGGTCAGAGGTAGCTAATTCAGGGTAGTTACAGGTAGTCACTAATTTGAAAGTTATAGAATTAAGTTCTGGTAAGAAACCTCTTGTTTAACGTTAGTCATTAATGTTATAACCGAGAACGTGCATGGAACAATAAAGCGCTTAACGCTAATTAAAGACAGCCATAGGGCTAGCTTGTTCTTCATCACTTTGACGCCGAGGTCGTGATTGCCCACGACGTTCTCATAAATAACGTTCACGTCAGGTTCTCAAGTAGTTAGTTAGCTAAGCTATTAGCTGTCCCCAGATAATGTTCCTGTAGTCGTTTTAAGTATTTCTTACACGTGTGAGAAACGCGATGTGCTTGGCTAAATTAAAGCTGAGAGTCGTCTGGTTAAATGTGCTCATTCTCACTGTGGTTTTCCCTGTGTTCATTTAGGAAGGAGGTAAGCAACCAGATGCGATGGATTTAAAAACTGCGGTGTTCAACGCAGCCAGAGACGGCAAGCTCAAGTTACTACAGAAGCTTTTGGAGAATAAAACTGACCATGAGGTCACAAAACTGATGGCTGAAAAGACAAATGGCGCAACACCATTGCTGATGGCTGCTCGGTATGGGCACCTGGATTTGGTTGAATACCTTCTGGAATGCTGCTGTGCACCTGTTGAGGTTGGAGGCTCTGTCAATTTTGACGGGGAGACTATTGAAGGAGCCCCTCCGCTGTGGGCTGCGTCAGCAGCCGGGCATTTGAAAGTAGTTCAGTCTTTGCTGGGACACGGTGCCTCTGTGAACAGTACTACACTTACGAACTCTACCCCTCTGAGAGCAGCTTGTTTTGATGGGCACCTTGATATTGTCAAATATTTGGTGGAGCACAAAGCAGACTTAGAGGTGGCCAATCGACACGGCCACACTTGCCTCATGATTTCTTGTTATAAGGGCCACAAAGAGATTGCTCAGTATCTGCTGGAAAAAGGTGCTGACGTTAATAGGAAAAGTGTGAAAGGTAAGGGACAGCTGGACACATCCACACATTGCTAGTAAAAGATAGGAATGAATTTGTTCAGCGTATCAAATTATTTTTCCAATCTGTCGTCTCTGCTTTCTTTGAATCCTGAATGTGTTTTGTTGTGAATGTTCTGTATGGTGATGTCTCATTTTACCACTCTGTCTTTGTGTTCTATAGGTAACACTGCCTTACATGATTGTGCTGAATCCGGAAGCTTGGAGATCATGAAAATGCTTCTGAAGTATGGTGCCACAATGGAGAAGGATGGTTACGGAATGACCCCGCTGCTCTCAGCTAGTGTCACTGGACACACAAACATAGTAGATTTCCTCACACAGCACCCACACACAAACAAAGTAGAACGGATTAATGCTTTGGAACTGTTGGGTGCTACTTTTGTGGACAAAAAGAGAGATCTTCTAGGAGCTCTGAAATACTGGAAGAGAGCCATGGACATGCGATACAGTGATGTCAACAATGTCCTGTTGAAAGAAGAATCTAAGGAACTCATAATGGCTTATGATTATGCCAAGGAGGTTAGTACCATTGAGGAGCTGGACAGTTTGATTTCAGATCCAGATGAGATGAGAATGCAGGCTCTTCTTATTAGAGAGCGGATCCTTGGCCCATCGCACCCAGACACATCATACTACATTCGCTACAGAGGAGCTGTTTATGCAGATTCTGGGAATTTTGAGAAGTGCATCAATTTGTGGAAGTATGCTCTGGACATGCAGCAAAACAACTTGGACCCTCTTAGTCCTATGACAGCTAGCAGTTTGCTCTCATTTGCCGAGCTCTTCTCCTTCATGCTTCAAGACCGAGCCAAAGGCCTGCTGGGAACGTCTGTCTCCTTCGATGACCTTATGGGCATCCTCAGCAAGAGCGTGCTGGAGATCGAGCGTGCTATGAAACAGCCCCACCCAGGTCCAGACCCTGCTCAGCTGAGTAAGGCACTCTCCATCATCCTGCACCTCATCTGCTTGTTAGAAAAAGTCCCCTGTACTGTTGAACAGGATCACTTCAAGAAAGAGACTATTTATAAGTTCCTCAAGCTGCATCCGTGTGGTAAAAATGGATTCAGCCCCCTGCACCTTGCAGTGGACAGGAATACCACGTGCGTGGGCCGCTACCCGGTCTGCAAGTTTCCCTCCTTCCAGGTGACCTCTATTCTTTTGGAGTGCGGTGCGGACGTAAACTGTCGCGACGAGGATAACAACAGCCCTCTGCACGTGGCCGCCTCCAACAACCACCCTGACATCATGAACCTGCTGATTGCTTGCGGCACACACTTTGACAGCACCAACTCCTTTAAACAGACTGCCTGCGACTTGCTGGATGAGAAGGAGATGGCCAAGAACCTGATCCAGCCTATCAATCACACCACACTACAGTGTCTGGCTGCTCGGGCCATCATCAAGTATGATCTCACGTATAGGGGTAATATCCCAGAGAAGCTGGAGGCCTTTGTGCTGCTACACAGATAATGACTGAGAGGACTACAGAGTTTGGTGAAAAGTGTCTTGGAGTCTGGAACACATTTTAAGTACCTCCATGCTCCTTGTGCTGTTTGTACAGAATAAGAAGTCCAGCACAGACATTGATAATAGATGGGCATGCCTAATATTTTTAACAGATTCTACCCCCTGAGAGCGTATTTCTTGCGGTTCGTCAACATCTTTTGCATTTCTGCCTGATTCTTCTGCTTTGTATTCCTGCCACAATGCAAAGGTGGTGGTACATGTCTGATTTGAGCTTCAGTTTCTTGCTGGTATCTTGACACAATACTGGTCTAAAACTACTGTTTTCCAAATCCATGGTTATGCCCTCATTGCATATTTTTTGTCAAGTGGAATGGAATGCACTCATTATTCTCCTTCAAGCATAAAGAAGCTTTATGATGTGGTTAATGTTTGCAAATACCATAAGTGCTTTATTTCTTCTATGCACAGCCTATGATCTTGCGACTGTTCTGTGTTACTGGACTGTGCCACTGTTTTGTAACTGCCTGTTTCATTTATTCATTTCATTTTTTTCCCCAATCTTCCTTAACTTGAAATGCAACTCAGTAAGTAAACCTGCAGCTGGGAAGTAATTGAGGTTTTTCTTGAGTAGTCATGTCTTCAGAGATGAAGCCTGGACGTTTTCCAAAGCTCATTTGCGAGGACTTTGAGCCAGATTGTTTTAAGACAAGCTATAAATTGAGACAAAGGTTGGTTCCATCTTCTTAATGCACAGCATGTAGTTAAGTTATTGTAGTCTGTGTGTCAGTGCAGTATCCACAGATCTGCTCTATTGAATTTTCTTATTCTTGTCAATATTTGTAAGACGATGAGGGCGTACCTTTCATGGAGTTCTTTGCTCATAATTTTTACTCCAGCTACAGTTGTGCAGTTTGAAAACAAGGGCTTTTCATACCTAAGAGCACATGTCACAAGCAAAAGAAACAAATGTACAGTACTAGCTACCACAGAATTGCACTTTATTGCAGTGGCGTTTGGAAATTCCTTTTACAATGGCTTGTCGATGTCCTCAGAGCATATTTAACAATAAACCTCTGTTGCACTTCCACTTGTTAAGCATCATTTATCTTGTTTCACGGCAGAATATTAGCAGGTATTAATTTTAGCATTGTTGAGTGATTGACGTACTGGTGGATTCCAAGCACACGTCACTCATTTCCTTGTATCGTAAACTGTTCTCATAGTCATGACTGAGTCATACTGGGATGGGCATTTTATGTCTACATAACACTTAAGAGCTGCTCCACCCATAGGCCTCGAACACGATATGGTTGTTTCCTTGTTTTTTGTCTGCTTTGTCTTTTCTAGCCGGCACTATCACGTTTGTTATTATATTACATTTTAATTTTTATTTAGGGTTGCTTTTAAAATATTGTAGGTCTAACTTATGCTGTACCTTTCAACGCATACTGATACCACAATCATCGATTTTTTGCTTGGGGCAGAGCTTTAATTAGCAAGTGCTGTGATTGGGCAAATGTCTGTGTTTTAAGCCAACATAGCGCAGGACATGAAGGGACTTCCACTGTTGCTATATGGGCACAGACTCAGGTAAATCACCAATCAGTGGACATAGTCTCTACTCTGTTTCCCCTGCTTTTTCTCCCTTCTATTTTTCTCTTTTTCATTTTTCGACATGTGACGTTCAACCTACTTCTGTGGTGTCTTTAAATAACCTTGAATAATGCCCTGCTGAAAATGTGTCCTACATGCAGGCTTGACACAAGAGCTTTCTCAGGTGATGGATCGCAGCTCATGAAACAGTCAGTTATGTCAGGTTCAGAGTCTAGACATAGATTATCGCTCACGTTTCATGACGCACTCTCATTATAATTTTATTACTTTTAATGGCTGTGTCACATTGTCGTAAGCACACCCACGACCGCGTGCAGTTTTGTCAAAAGTAAAAACGTACTGCAGTGGTGGGTGACTGTTTTGTTTTAGAGTGGTTATTACATGTGATCCTAGTGGCATGTTGTGTTTTCCAGAATGGCCCTCGGTCCCATCTTAACAGGCTCACTCATTACGTAAGAGAGCCTGTGCAGTATCCTTTTAAAGGAGAGGGCAGCGGGGTGAGTCGCGGTGAACTTGATACCCCGGCACATGTGGACCTGAGACGGGCAGGACTTTAAAGTGGGGATAATCGCACTGGAGTGCAGTGACAGTTTAGCCCCCAAGCTGCCAGAAATCCCCCCAGCATCATCCAGCCAACTGTCAACTGTGAAAACAACTGATATTTATAAGGCTGCATGAAGTGATGCCACAGCTACCAACTATCCAAATAAATCCCTACTCAGTAACTGTGTAACAGGTCAGCGTCCTGGTCACAGCTGTGATAGCGGGATGCCTGAAATATGGAAAAATGTGTCTACTGACCCCTGCTTTAAAAATAACTTTTGACACTCGAGCAAGGTGATTTTCAGCAAATTAGCAAGATAGGCAAACGTTCGTTTGTTTAAGCCTAACTTTTGTTCATTATTATTTTAATTTATAATATATACAGTACTGTGAAAGTCTTAAACATCTAAGAAAATATGTAATGCTATTTTTCTAGGCAGTAACAATTTGTTCAAATAACACTTATGTTGGAATAAAAACAAATAAACAATACGTAGTGATGTTATGTAGGTTTGCTTAACCATTCTCAAACCTCCTCTTGAGGATGCTCAGTATTTAGTTACCATCCAGTACTTATTTGAGTTAATCAGTCCTTCATTATATTAAATCTGATATGCTGCTGATGAAATGTTAGTAGTCCACATGATGAATGGTTGATTTTCCAACAAACATAACTTTTTATATTTACAAAAAGTTGTTATCATGTTATATGTTTACTTGTATTTCTGGTGTTTTACTGTCAAGGTAAATAGTTTTGAACAATTTTCATGCTGTCTAAGACTTTTGCCCAGTTCTATTTATTTTTAGATTTGATTTTAACTTGGCCTTGGATTGGTTGGCACATAAGCTATAGGCTGCTATGCTGACTTAGAGCTGTTAGCATTAGAGATCGCTTGTGGTCAGTGACACAGGCAAGCAGCTGTTTGCTTGGGATATGAGAGAGAGGTTACTTTCTATAGTGAGGGTTCATTCTGAATCCTGGCAAGGACACTCATCTCCTGGGATTTGTGCAGTGGTGTACATTACTCTACATTATATTGCCAAGTTACACTGGGTTAGATGATATAATGGGAATACCGGAATGTCAAGGTGTCATGTTTTAACTAACCCCAATTTAAAACCAATATATATCTGTTCCACATTTTAACTCCAAAAAACTGCCTCAGGAAAGAGGAGCATCGGGTTGAAATTGAAGTTCTCTGACAGACTACTTGCTGTTTTGAGGTCCAGACTATGTGTCTCCTGGGGCTGTCAGCCTATGGAGGGTTAAAATGGAAAAGTTGCATAAAACAAAGAAAACCAGGTGGACCAATAGGTAACCACTCAACCTCTCTTTTACCCCGACTTAAACTTGGTCAAAACTTCGGCATTAACTTAAACTGACGTTAATAGTGATCCTCAGATCTTTGGAAACACCGCACCAGTTAAAAAAAGCATGAAACCTCCAGTAGTGGAACATAGTAATGTGGTCTGACAAGTCTTTGAGTATTTTTGTTCTATATCTGATTGTGCTGTCTTTTGAAAAATACCAAAGGTAGAATCTACACTGTTGACAGACTGATTAATATTCCTTCTTATACACTTTAATCAAATTGTTGTTTTGGTTACATATTCCAGGAAACTGGCTTTGTAGTTAAATAATTATGAATTTAAAATTGCAATGAAAGCATTGGCTTTAATTTGGGGATGTTTACATTAGTGAACCGTGTAGGAATCACAGCCTTTTTTATACAAATATACATATAGTTCCGTTATTTCAGCAGACCGTAAGTGTACAAACTAATATAGTCTGACACAAAATTTTATTTTTTTAATTACAAAACATAAATTAAAAAACATAACCAGGTGCTGTCAGGGATGTAGCTGGTGAAGGCTCTACCATCCATAGCTGAGGGGATTTCTTAGAGAGCACCCTCGCAAAGACACAGGGAGAACACAAAAGACAAAAAAGACCAGCAACTCTAGCTGTGGCCCTGCTATCTTTAGCAGGTGTTGCAACCATAACTATTTCCTCTGGGAATAGTTCATGCACAGTCCAGCCGTGAACCCAGTGGTAACTGGGTTCACGGCTGGACTGGTTCGAATGATAAGGCTGCATATTTCTCTCAAACTACAGTCATTGTCTTATGGCCTTAGTGTCTTTCTGATCTGAAAAGAAACACTTCTGTATTTCATCGCTCATACCATGTGCCTCTGTGCTGCTATATAACACTAATGAGGAAAAGCCCAACTCACATTTAAGAAACTTACACCCTTCAAAATAAAGGTGCCAAAGGGTTTCTTTGGATCGGCGCCATAGAGAAACCACTTTTGGTTCCACAAAGATCCCTGCAGTCGGTGGTTATTTAAAGAACAATAATTGTAAATGAGTTACAAACTATAAAGGTGCTAGTCCAATTGATTGTATGGTTTTATTTCCTAGAACCATACAACCAAGCCAAGAACTGTTTAGGTACCTTTGTTTTTCAAAGTGTGCTTGTCTTACTTGCTCTTACAGGTCTTCCAATTCCTTTAAAAGAACTGCCTTAAAATCTGAACCCAGGATGACCTTTTGGTGCACCTCCAGGAAGAAAGCCTCCCAGATGCCTTTTTCCTGGTATGGAGTAGTTCTGGAAGGTTACTGACCTATGTGGAAACACTGCAAGGTAAGATGTGGAGACCAAAATGCGTGCTATTAGCAAGAGTAAAATTTCACTGACACAATCAAAACATGAGTAACCTCTTGCGCAGACTTCAAGGTATGAGTATGTGACCTATATATTTGACAGAGCCGTGTTTAAGAGTGAAATCTTAAACAGGATTCCACGCACACACACTGTAGCACATCATCATCTGTCTGCTGAACATGGCATGAAGCAGTCTAGAACAACTGAAGACTAACTTCATTGTTGGCAACTGATTAACTATATAGTGACACTATTATGGTGCTGAATTTTATAATTTGATGACAAGCTGGTGAAACAGCAAAATATCCGAACACAGTCTACAACGAGCTACAATAAACAGTTAAGTTTGAATCTTGTGAGATTTCATCTGGTCCCGCTCAGATGTACATGGGTTTACCTGAATCATGTTTGTTTAGACTTGTTTTGCAAAAATACCTTTCCAGGAACCAACAGGCATGTGATTCAGGCTTATGTACATAGATCACTGCTGCTGTACACAACCTTAACATTAATAATAGACCCATATGCTTTATGTACACATACATTAATCTTCATTCATTGTGAAGCTATTCAAACAATTCTATTCAAATGCTAGGAATCGTAATCTTTGTTTATAATTTTGCTGACAAAGTAGCAACTCAACATTGTGTCGATGACCTCAAGTCACTCACTGTTTGTTTCACTGACTTGTCACTGCATGTGTTGAAACTGTCACAACGCAACCTTGCATTTGATTCAATGTACCAACTAGACTCATGAATATCAGCTGCAGCAAATCAGCTTTGTAGTCTACAGTTGCACAGTTATTATTAATAGGTACTTGCTTTCAAGATGCATGTTCTCTGCTATGAATGATAGTATTTTGGGGATACATTACATATACATTATTTAAGCTGCTTATCCTTCTGGGTCGCGGAGGGGGGTAGGGTGGGGTGGGGTTGGAGGGGGCAGGTGCTGGAGCCTATCCCAGCAGTCAACAGTTATCAGGCAAAAGGCAGGAAACACCCTGGACAGGTCGCTAGCCCATCTATTTGATAAAAAAGGCCTACCACTATGAAATAAAAAAAAGCATGACTGGTTGCTTTTTTGTTGATTCTAATATGATAAACAGTGGTTAAACTTTACTAACATTACTAAGACCGCATTCTATCATCTATATAGCATCTATATAGTAAGGGTGAGCGCCCACCTCCTAGTAGTTTTTAAATCTGTTAATAGTATAGCATCTTCAAACTGAATGAATGCCTGATAAACTGTTCCATATCGTGCCCTAAGATCATCCAGTGCTGCCCTTCTCCATATTCCGTGTATAAATCTTTAAAAGAGTGGTGAAGCAGCCTTGTGTTATTTTAAGCACCAAAGATCTGGAACACAATGCCATTAAATATTTGTCAGTGTCCGTCTATCACTTTTTCAAAAACAGTTAAAGACAAATCGCTTCATATTACCATTTAATTAGCTTCTATTATTATGTAACTTATTTTTCCTTACTTTCACTGGAACTTATACATTATTTTCTTATTATTTTAATTGTTGTACATTGTTGTACTCTTCTTTACAATTTAATTGTTATTATGTTTTGGCACTATTTTCATCATTCTGTCACTGCTTTTATGTGTTGCTTCTTAGTGTTTGCCACTTTTACTACAACCCCGTTTCCAAAAAAAGTTGGACGCTGTGTGAAATTAAAATAAAAGCAGTTAAACCCTATATTTATTTTAAAATAATACAAAGACAACATATCAAATGTTGAAACTGAGAAATTTTATTTATTTATTTATTTTAATGCCCATTTTGAATTTTATGCCAGCAACACATTTCAAAAAAGTTGGGACAGGACAACAAAAGACTGGTTAAATTGTGTAATGCTAAAAAAAACCTGATGGAGCATCTCACCATTAATTAGGTTAACTGGCAACAGGTCAGCAACATGATTGGGTATAAAAAGAGCATCTCAGAGACGCTGAGTCTTTCATAAATAAAGATGAGGAGGGGTTCATCGCTCTGTGAAAGACTACATGGGAAAATAGTGCAACAATTCAAGAATAACTCATTTCTCAGTGTAAAGTAGCAAAAAGCTTGGTGTTTTTTCATCATCTACGAACATAACATCATTAAAAAATTAAGAGAAATCAAAGAAATCTCTGTAGGCAAGGAACAAGGCCGAAAACCAGTATTGGCTGGCCGTGATCTTTGGGCCCTCAGGCGGCACTGCATTAAAAGCGGACATGATTCTCTAGTGGCAGTCACTGCATGGGCTCAGAAACACAAATGCAAGTTAAAACTCTACTGTGCAAAGAAAAACATATATAAACAGGATTTACAAATGCTGCTGCCTTCCCTGAGCCCTAGATCATTCAAGATGGACTGAGGTGAAGTGGAAAATATCCTGCAGTCCAACAAATCAAAATTTTAAATTGTGCTGAATTTTAAATACTACATTCTAATAAAAAATTAGTTTGCTCAATGAAATAAATCTTAGTGCCAATTTCTGCTAACTTTTTCTTGTTTACTTAGCTGAGCTAACATTAGAATGTTTGTTGTTCTAATGAGCATAGCTAGTAAAAACTCTGAGTCATAGCAACTCCTCTCCTTTTATATCGACATTGGCAAGTGTTTTTATCCAGAGTGATGTACAATTTCAAATTATGTTAGGCAGGAAATGCAATGCTAGGCATCTTACTCAAGCACTCTTTTTGGTGTAGCGGAGAATCGAACCCTAACCTGCCATGTGGTTGACAGCAGTGTTACCCACCAGCCTGCAGTCCCTGCATAATCAGTCAAAAATATACCACTGAATCATTTAATGCAGGATATATAAGTTACAAACCATGTGCTGAATACAGATATTGACATGTCTTTTAACGGGCAATGTTACTTTTAATATTTGTACATTATGAAGTTTTAAACTTTGCATGGTGGACTGTTATGCAAAAAAAAATGCCAAAATTATTTTATCAAGCTGATAAAACAAATACCCTTAGTAATGTCATACTCCACTATGAGGGGTTGGAGTGATGTGGGTGTTAACACTACTGCCCATCATATGGCAGACCAGTATTCGATTCTCTACTGGAGTAAAAACACCATGCTGCAAGAGTCTTGGAGCAAGATGCTTAGCACTACATTGACCTACCTCTGTAACATGATTAAAAGCTTACATTACTCGGGATAAAAGTATCCGCCAAATGCTGTAAATGCAATGTTAATATCAGAGGAGAAAAGTCGCTATGACTCAAAGTTTAATAATTGTGCTTCTTAAGACAACAAATAATATTATGTTTGCTCAACTAAGCATTTCTTTTAGTGCTGACAACATACTGTCAGTGAGTGTAATTATTAACAGAAGTTTAGTAAACAAGACAAAGCTAGTGGAAATTGGCACTAAGATATATTTTGTGTGCAAACTCCATTTTTTAGAGTGAGAAATAAAGTGCATTAGTATTATTAAACTATTATAATTAGAAATGGTGATGTCTCTAGATATGAATGGAACAAGTGCCATAGAAAAAAGTTTTAAATCAAAGGCACAGGACCACAAAATAAAGAACATACACACATACAACACATTTCTGAATATTGCAATTACCACAGGTTTCAATGCCAATATTGGTTCTCCTGTTATTCTAAAGAAATCACTACAGATCAGAGACTATATCATTTGTGATTTTCCCAACTGACATGGAGTGAGTTTCCCCAAGCATGTTGAACATTACACAGCATCATTCGACCCTTCTTGTTAATAGTAATGAGAATCTCTAGGCTCTATATGTTTGGGAAACTCACCCCTGCCTGTGTGGTTAAAATAGTGACCTCAGGCAGCAGTTGGGGCACACACTGAAACGCACTTCAGGATCACTTTCACCATTACCCTATATTCACACAGCTATGGTCAGTTCCCTGAGGCTCGTCTCTCACCAGCTACAAGGCTGTCACATGGCGAGACTGAGCATGGTTAAATTTCACTCAGGGAGGAGCAGCTGGGGCGTCAGTAAAACGTGCTAGAACACTTTGGGGGCGTGCCGGCACCAGAAGCCATAAATGAAAAAGATCTGTGGATAAATGGCACAGACAAAACACAGATGACTTTGAAATACATGCATATATGAATGCATAAGTACAGGCTTATTCCATTATTGCTATTAATTTTTTTTATTATACTACAATTAGTTCCAGACTTGCAGCATTCGCTCTGACTATACACTGACTACATATTCTATTACAAAGTAAGCATGATTAGGCCTGTTAAAATAGATTTAGTGCAGTTTGTCAAACACTAAATAAAAAACATTGTCACGGTTGGTTTATTATTATTGTTATAGTATTTTTATATAGCACTACAGGTTCCACATATAAAAACAGGTTCCAATCCAAAGTATCATGACATAATATTTTTGCCCTTATCTTCCACCCTAGATTTTTAAAGATTTGTTCAGATTAGGTTTTCTCTGATTTTAAAATGTACTTTTTACATGGTTTTTATTAAGAGGGTAGACTGTACAATGACAAATAACAATTTACTAAAGTTAATCTTTTAGGAATAAAGGAATAAAGAATAAAAGAAACTTTGTAGTTTCTTTTATTCTTATTTATTTACTTAACAACAACAATAATATAATAATAATAATAATAATAATAATAATAATAATAATTTCTAAAATGTATTTTATGGAAAATTTGTTTCGTGTTTGTTTTTTTATTTAATCTGTGTCATTTTTTCTTTTAATACTCTGTAAAGTACTTCGAACTGCTCTCTTGTATAAAAAACGCGTAAAACGCATAAATAAAATTATTATTATTGTTGTTGTTGTTGTGTAAAATCACAGGGACAAACGGGAGACAGTTTAAAATGCTGCAATTCAAAAGAACAGAGCAGCGTTTCTGTGTGCTGCCTCTTTAGTCGTAGCACATGCTGCCTCCATGGCTCACATTCCCTCACATGCCCAGTTGTAGCAAACTATAGTTCTGCGCCCACAGGACCAGCTGCTATTTTGGTTTCAAAGATAATTATGCCTTCATATCAAGGGGATAGACTATCCCAAATATCTTTTCTCAGTAATGGCTCTGTTTCTATTCTCAGCTGCCTGATTAGTTTGTTACATCACGCAGTCGGCATCGCTTGAAGACTCCTGAAAGAGAGCTGATCAGATCAAGTCTGCATGTCTCACTGCAGCAATGTCGGCGTGTGTCCAGGTATCAGAAAATCACTGGAGGTGTTGAAGGCGTAACTGTCCTGTCAAACAGTATGAATTGTTCTAAGGTATTTCAGTGCAGGTAGTAAAGAATAGTAAGAGCTGAGTTGTTGGCATTGTGTGTTTTGTACAGCAGCAACAGACTAAAAGGCAGTGGTTTGGTTTCGCGTCGAATAAAGTTTGAGGTTCAAAATCCAAGTTGGTCACCTTGGCAACGGCCGTTACCAGCACACAAACAGAGGCTCGGGAGTACGTTCATTTTCTCCCTCACACGAATTACATTCAGACTGATACAGCTAAAAATACACGCTGAAATGCGGAATCAACGTTACTACGCGGGAACTATGAATACTAGATCTATTATTTAGTAACAATAAACAATGGCTAATAAAAGAAGTTCTCTGTTGGGGAGCTAGGCTAACGACCAGTAGAGAACCACCGCGAATATCTAGCTAGCTAGTTAGCTAAGCTAGCGTTAACGATGTGGCACCTGCTGTACTTACTTTCAGGAAAAAATGTTCTAAATGTTTTAAAAAAATAGTTAAACGCTATCACACTGCGCTGAAAATGCAGAGTTCAGATGAAAGAGTTGTCCTGGCAAAAACAGCTGATTTTCTCCGAAAAGCTGAACATCTGAGAAAACTGTGAGTGCAACAATGACAACTTTACCATAAACAAGTAACACAAAAACTGAGAATAACCTTACTGGCTTTATACAGAACATATCCTAATATTTGTGTGCAGGGCTGATAAACATGGAAAAGAGAGAAAGTGGAGTAACTCCAGCAGAAAGAATGACCTTAAAGATTGTTTCTGCAGTTTGGAAGAGCTGGAAAACAAATTTAACAGTGAACTCAAGACTGAGGGCAAGTTTTTGAAGTATTTTCAGTAATTTTATTTTTCTTTTTGGCATGGTAATTTTTTTTTTATTCTAACAAATAGGCCTAACAATAATGCCTAATAATCATTGTTCTGCCATTGTTTTATCTTTAAATGGCCAGAATAGTGTATGCACAGTGAGTGTAGTGGCTTGTCTTGTTTAACTAGACAATTCCTTTATATTTGATTCTGTTTTTGGTTACCAGTGATAAGAGTGCAGCAGCAACTGCAAAAAATCAGGAATAGTGTCTACAGATTCCAGGGACAGTTGACTGATGTGAAGCCATCTGCTGATTGTAAGTAGCTAAAATGAGACCTTTATTTCAAATGTGAATATGAGTAGAAATGTAGACTTTTTTGTGTTAATACCCAAATTTAAACTGCACTGTTTGTAGATTTTATTCAGCGGGGAGCATTTCATTAATCAATATTTTATCTCTGTTGACTGTTAGTGATAGAAAAATTAAAAGACATCATGAGTGAAATTGAAAACTCTATCAACACATTTAAAGAAGAACAGCATCAAAGGTATGACCACAGGTATGGATGGTTAATTAGACACTAAAACAAGGTGTTCTTGGTGAATGAGTCATTTTCTTTTCTTCAATGGCACTTGTGTAGCTTTGAGGAGCTCTTAAAAGAGGAAAGGACTTGCTGGCAGGAGATATGGGCCTTTGAGAAGAAGATTGATGCTTGGTCATTAACTGTGAAGAATGATGGTGAGTTCCACCGCACTCCCAAAGCCAGGTTGTGCATGGACAAAAAAGGGAAGGAGGAGCTTCCTGCAGAGGTGACAGCCCTGGAAACATTTCTGCAGCAAACTGGAGGAAAGCTGGGAGGTTGGGACCAATATGACCACCAGAGCTTCCTGAAAGTGTGGACCAAGCACCATGGAAAACCCTCATACAGGACAGAGGCTAAGTTTTACTTACCAAGTAAGACTGAGAAGGACATAAGGCTGCATGAGGACTGGTATCTAGAGCTCTGCCATCTCCAGGAAAAGAAGAAAGAGGTATGAATTTACTGAGGCATTTAGTTTCCATCCCTTGATTTGGTGATTTTGACTCTCAGTACTGGCTCCTGCAGTTAGTGAGTGATTGTATAGCTTTGTCTTAAATGATTAAAACTAGTCTTCTCTTACATGATTAAAGTTAACCCTCTATTGCATGGTGTTGCCATATGGCAACAATGACTTTATCTCAATTTTACTAAAAAGCAGTAATATAAAAACTGTTTTCCTATTTAATTGTGGAAAAAGGGTGTTTTACTTTGAAGGTACAAATACTTTGTGACTTCACATGACCAGGAATTCTTTATTATGATGTTGTTGTTTTTACCATGTATTCCAAATACCAATTGAAATTGTATTAATTTCCAATATTTGTAAATATTGGGTCGTACATTTCACTAAGTATAAGTTGGATTTGTTTGGTCTTGTTTTCAATAAAAGGACGTTTTTAGAGAAAAATTAGATTTTTTGGCGCTATGTTTGTGCATTGTTTTTTTTTTTAATTTTTCATTATTTAAGCAATTTTACGTTGCAAAAAACACATTAAAACTGTTTTAACATGTTTAAGTAATAATTCATGCAATAGAGGGTTAACAGCTCCTGGCAACATCTCAGACATCCTAGTTTTTTGCTTCAATCCCTGTTGGAGTCCTTTCAAGGGTCCATATCCATTTCCTTGTATTCTATTTTTATCATTGAAGTTCACTTGCACGGGTTATGTGAGTTTGTGTACCAAAAACAGTCATAATTCATTTTTACATGACCATTTGCCAACCACTCTGATATATGTAAATGACTTCTGTTCTGATTGGCTGACCTGTATTGTGCCTCATTCAAAAAGCCGTCCAGTCTAAAACACTCTTTGTAACTTCAGTGTAAATGGACAGGGCTAAACTGTTGTAAGAGAAATAGGGAGATAAATGTAAATGTGTTGATTTCATGACATCACAAAAACAAGGAATTTAAAACGGACTGTTTTTGCAGCTTAGTCTCCATTTAGCGACTGTACACACTGATGAGTGAATTGTACGATTTGAAGTTTTGCCAGTGTTTACATACTACATCAAAGTCTTTTATTTAGAAAACATAATCATTAAATAATCATTTTATGGTGTCTTAAATACTTCTGCATTTAAGGTTGCTCTTACGTGCACAGAGTAACCCACTCCTTTTTAGCTGCTAATGTGTAAGAGCCATGTACTCTAGTTTTACATGGGGCTAGTGTAATTGTTTTTGATGAAAGGCAGATAGCTTACCTGCCTAGATAGTTGAACCACTAGCACTGCAGATATTTAGAGATTTAGAAAGCTAATTAAGACAGCTTATAAAAAGTGCCTTACTAAGATGTTAAAAAATGTCAGTTTGTCACCTCTACTATGGAACGAAAGACTGCAGCTAGATTGGGTATCTTGAGCTGAAACAGATCCATTAGTCACAAATTCATATTAATTCTTTCATATCATTCAGAGAAAGCAAAGTCTATGTCTTCGCTAAAACTGATGCTGCTTGCTACAGATTTGAGGATTGGACTCTCTGGTCAAATAAGTAGGACTTCTTCAGAGTAGCATCAATGATTGTTAAGAAATGGGAGCCATTGGACTCAATCAAATACCAGTCTGTTCTATTACAAAGCTAAAAATTACCTGTCACTAGACAACTTTCAGGAGCTCAGGATGCCTGATATCAAGAGTACCAATCCATCAAAGAGGAATTCCACTGATTTCTGCTTTAATTAAATTGTTAAGCTGTAAACAAAGACACTGAGAGTGGTTTGATGTGAAATGCTCCATTCCAGAGAAATGTACCAAGTTGTGGTACAGTGGTGGTAAAAGGAACCAGACGTCTGAAGAGTTGAATGTCTGTAAAAGCTCCCTCACAGAAAGTTATTACATGAAATTGTTAGAAATACGCTGTCTGATGTCTGAGACATTATTTAACAATAGTTTTGGGATAAGGTTTTGGTCTATTTTTTAAATCCATTCACGGTGGAGAGGTAAATGCAGGCAAAATGGTCCCCAAAGGAAACATATTAGATATTGCTGCTGTCTGAACAAAATCTTCTATCTTCAAAAAAGGAAAAACATTCTTACCCTTCATTGTAAATTAATGTAACAAGATGTTATCTTCAAGTCATTTTGACACATTGTGAAGAGCAACTAGCATTTCCAAATTATGTAAAAAATAGAGATACAAGGTTTTATTCACAGTCACAATATAAAACTGAGAAGATGTTTAAGTTCACTGGTCAATTTGGCTGTGTTTGCCTGTTGTTTCTGAGTATGTAAGTTTCTCTGCAATAAACCGTTTTATTCCCCTTTAAAATATGCTTAGATCCACTCTGATAGTGATTCTGCCGATTGGTTAAGGACTCCAATCAAATGTGCTGTCACTTGTGTCTCAAGGCCATTCAGAAATGGAGAGCTGAAAGGCAGAGAGCAAAAGAAGCCCATCTGCAGGAACAGGAGAGTGAGGCAGAAAGGAGAGAGCGTGAAGTGGTGGTTGCAGAGGCCCAGCGCCTCAAACAAGAGGAGGAGCGCAGGGAAGCGGCTGCCCGTCTGGAGGCCTGGAAGAGCCAGCGCAAGCAGCAGCAGGAGCAAGAAGAGGAACAGAGGCTCAGAGAGGAGATCCTTCAAAGAAAACGACTGAAGGAGGAAAGGCGGAGGCAGCTGGAAGTCAAGTTGGCTGTAGAGGCTCACATCAGGCAGAAGAAAGAAGAAGAGGAGCTGCGGCTTTTGCGGAAGGAAGAACAGGAGCGAGCCGAGATGGAGGAGAGACAGAGAATGGCTGCTGAAGGCATCAGACATTTTCAAGAGAGAGTGAGTTGACAATGTTCAAAGTGTTGTAGATGTGTCCTCTTGGACGCAATTGGAGTTGTGTAATTCTTTTTCCTTCTGAAGGATCTACACAAGTTAGAGACGAAATTGCAGGAGAAACAGGCCAAAGAGGAGGAAGAGCTGGAACGGGTGAAGATGCAGGCTAAACTAAAGGAGAAGGTAACCTTATTAATCAGTGAAGAAAACTGTACAACTTAATCACTTTTAGAATAAATTCTTGATGTTTTTGGGTGTTTTTTTGGCATAAAATATATCTAAAGCTGGATTAAACCTCTGCAGGTTGAAAGCCACATCACTCGAGACCCTTCAAGACTCTGGAAACCAACCAAAGGATGGAAAGAACGCACCAAAGAGATTGGGCCAACGGGGGGCGGTCCTGTATATCAGATGTTCCATAGGTATGCCATAAAGTTCATATAATCATTTTAGTTCTACTGCATGTAATAAAATCATGTACTGATGAAATACTTAAATTAAAGGGGAACTCCAGCCAAAATGAAAAATGTAACCATTACTACAGCAGTTGTAAACATACCTACTTTCCTCCTTCAGTGGTGCCACAGTAGTCTCTAGAGTAAGATTTTCAGATTTAAAGCGAAGGAAATGCCGCTTTTGATGACGTATTTTGAAGGTGGGAGAATGTTTTGTAAAACTACAGGGGCTTTGGGTGGATTGCTATATTGGGTGAGCTTTTTGATTTTTTTTTTTTACCTGCTAGCTGGCAAATGCAGAACAAAGTCAGATAGCTAACATTAATGATGTGTAATGTGTCAGTGGCTATGCTAGCAGCCAGGATTTCTTTATTGCTGTAGTAGCATTCCCAGTGGTACTATTGTTATATGACATATTGTGTAATGCATGCTTGGTGTTGTGTAATGCACAGATATAAGAAATTGTGGACCATTGTTGATATCTGATATTCTGCATGTACACAACTGCCTATACCAATACCATTGCTGATACATTTGTAAAGTATTTATAAAATGTGTTCATTGGGACTAAATGTACCTGGATAAGCATTACAGAGAAATATAATAAGTGCATTTTTTTCAAAGGTGCCTCCAAGTTACCAGAGCAGTATTCATCATATGAAACTAACTGGTATTTAATAAAATCAAACCTCTATCAAAATATAAAGACATGTTTTATGGTCATACTAGCTAAGCTACACACTTAAAAAAGACAGTTCTTCAAGGGTTTTTTACTAAAGAAATTGGTTCTATATAGAACAATGAACACTCAAAGAACCCTTTGTATGCTTAAAGCGTTCTTTGCTTTATGAAATATTTTTTCATATTGATGGAGAATGTGTTGTACATGGTTCTATATAGAGCCTTTTTGAAAAGACTACTACATAGCACCAAAAAGGGTTCTTCTATTGTTACAAGCTTGACATCATAACAATAGAAGAAACCCTTTTAGTGCTGTATAGAACCTTTTTCAAAATGGTTCTATATAGAACCATCTTCATCACATTTCCATCAATCTGAAGAATCTTTCACAATGCAAAGAACCCTTTAATCATGCAAAGGGTTCTTTGAGTACCCACGGTTCTGTATAGAACCAAATTTTTCAGTAAAGAACCCTTGAAGAACCATCTTTTTTAAAAGTGTAGCTAAACAGCAGCTGGTGAGATAGACATATACTGCTGTAGTCTTATAAATGCAGTAAAATAAATAAAATGCAGGTATTTTAGCTCAGTAGCCCAGCATCACCTAAACACTCTGGTCTACCAGAGTGCAATAATTAAGCCAAATCACATATCAATTTGAAACATTGGTCAAGTATAAACATTGACGTAGAAGTTTTTTTTAAAACAAAAAGGACAACATATAACATTTTAAATGCTAGTTTTAGGTCAGAATGCCTCTTTAACTTAATTCTAACACAAATTCATGCTCAATTTCCTAATTTCTTGCTCAATCTCTCTACTACAGGGCAGTACCAACATGGAGACAGGGCCTTTAAACTCCTAAAGCTTCAGCCTTCACAGAAGATCCAGAAATGAATAAACATTCCATTGTGTAATGTACCATATTGGCATATGTTTGTAATTTTCGTTTTTGTGATTAACGCTGTAATTAACCAACCACTCTCTTAGGGCTAGCAACAGCCAGCCTTTTTTCAATTTTGTTTCCTAGGAAAGTCGCTTTTGCAATTAATAAGACAAAATAAAGGTTTTTAAAGATAAGTTGTGACATTGTGTATTTCATCATTTCGTTTAGTGAGAGTACTGTAAGAGAAAATCTACTGCTGTTATTGTTTTGGTAGAGAACATACTTCAGTCTATAGGTTGCTTGCATATTTTCCTTGTCATGTATGTTTCAGATTGTTTTTAAGAATGTCAAAATGTGGTTAGTTTATATTCTTACTTTTTGAAATATGTGCTGTAATTTCAATGTTTTTGGCTCACAGGTGTAAGAACTGTTATCATCACTAGCAAATGTGGGTTTTTAGGGGGTTTGTCTTTGTATCAGTGTTGGCAGTATACATACGCTTTGATAAATCTTTGATATATAAAGTAAGCTATTAGATTGTGCCTTTAAACAGGCTGAACAAGTTCCATCTGAAAACAATTCTTTCAAAAAGTGTCCAAAGCATATCTCTCTGGGGTAAAAGAAAAATCAATAACATACAACACGCTGGTGATTCTGAAGGGTGGCCTTTGCATTGACCTTTAAAATACTTTAAAAAGATTAAGCTCACTTATTGGCCTCTTTTCCACTGTCGAGCCAAAGGCTCTCAGGGCCGAACTGGGCCGTTCTGTGCTGGTGTGGGCTTTTTCCATCTGTTGTGCCACTAAATCAGAACCAGGAAATACTGAAGAAAACTGCACACGAATGGCTAACTGCTAAAAGGCTAATAGCTACATACACCGTACCCACCACAAAATACGTTTGATTTTGTCTTTCATTCCAACATCAGTCTGGACCCGGTTACCGTGTCGAAAAAAAAATACACGCTGAGCCCATTTTAAACGTTCCGGTTTGAACCGTTTGGAAAAGCCACTGGAACGGTTACCTGCTGTTGGAACCATTTGGCCCTGCAGTGGAAGAGGCAGCTGTTTCCATTAGTATGTGTACGCAAGTGTCAGAAACTTTTGGCTCAATGCGTAGTGTGATAATTCTGTTTTTGATAACTCATCATCACTAGCAAATTAAGAATGTATCGACTGAATACATGATTTCTCTGACAACTCCACTGTATGCAATGTGCTTAGATAGCTTGGTATAAAGGGTCCGTTACAAGGAAAGGACTGTTTAAATGGGTTTTGGTTTCATGTTAGTGTTTAAGTCCCGAGGCTGCTTGAATATTAACTGCATATAAGCAAGAAAACATTATTTAATGTACAACCTTTAATTTCAAGGAAGTTGAGATGGTGTGTGAAATGCTAATAAAAACAGAAGGCAGTGATTCTGTTTAACCAGTGAATTGAAAACAGTATAAAAACACAATATTTGATATTTTACCTTATGAACTTTGTTGTTTGTTGTTGTTTTTTTTAAAATATACACTCATTCAAAATTTGATGCCTACAGCATGTTCCAGAAAAGTTGAGAGAGGAGCATGTTTACCACTGTGTTACATACTTATCTTCATCTCCACAATTACATGGGGCACCATCACTTTCTGATTATGCATGCTGTTGTAACATGCATAATGTGGCTTAGCATTGTCATGTTGAAATGAAAAACACATTGTCTTGAAGGCAATATATTTCACTCCACAATAAGTACATATCTTTTGGCGTTAATGGTGCCTTCACAGATTTGCAAGTTACCCATGCTGTGGGCATTAATACACCATACATGTACCTCTCCACCCTGAATGTATTTTCTAAATAGGTTTTAAGCCAAAACCTTTTAAAACTATTGTAGTGACCTGCTACTGACTCGCGCTGCCTCTGAGAAGCTGAATGTGTGTTATTTGTGTTATTTTGTGTCAAGGTCCAAGTTTAGCTAGTGTGTTTTGTGTTGGAGGTTGGTCTACCATGAGTTTCAGTTAATATTTTCCTGTGAGGTAGCATTTAGAAGCATTAAAAGCTTCAGGCGCCTGGTTCCTATCACCACCACTGTGAAAAAATCTGACTCAGTAAGTTTGTTTTGAATGGAGCGTTTCATATCAAACAACTCTCAGTGTCTTTGTTCACATCTTAACCCTTTAGACATGCAGAAATTTTGAAAAGATGGTGGAATTCCCCTTTAATGGGTTGGCACTTGGTAAGTGTATTTAGAGTAACACATTTTACGTCAAAACCACTATGAATGACTACATGTATGTCTTAATAATTCAATTATTCAGAAAATTAGAAAACTACTTGGAGTTCCCCTTTAATGGACTTTAAAACAGGACAACAGTCTGTTGCAGCACTACTGTATCTGTGAGGCTACTCAAAGCGCATATTTTGGACCTGGCTTTGAATATTATTAATATTCAGTTTTTGTTTATGTCCAAAAAAGAAATGGTTCTTGGAGAGAGGGAACTTCTTCCAGCTCTCTACTGCAGCTCTGAGGAGTTTGACAAACGGAACTTTTATTTTGTCGGATGTTTTCCCGTCGGCGGGTGAAGGCCACAAACGGCAGCTACTACCCGCATAAGTAAAGATGGCGGAAGAAGAGAATTTAGCTGATGATTTTGATCAAATTTATTTTTTAAAAGACCGACATGTACGTTTTTTTCAAAGATGCCTCCAGGTGTTACCGGAGCGGTATTCGTCGTATGAAACTAGCAGGTATTTAAAGAAATCAAACCTCCTTTCAAAATATAAAGACATGTTTTGTGGTTGTGCTAGCTGGGCTAGTTAAATATCAGCTAGCGAACGAGGCTGAAGTTGGCTTCTTATTCAAAATTTTCCATTGTGCAGCAGTAAAATCACATTACATTCACAGTGTAACTGCTGCTCCATTTAAGGTGGAACGGGAAAATTCGAACAAGAAGCTGATTAACTGGAAGCACCGGAGCTGGCGAGCTAGCAACCTAGCTTAGCTAGCTAGCGTAGCTAACTTGCCCATTCAAACAGTTGAGCAGAAAGATAGCGTTAACTGTGGGAATGGTAGATTAGAGGGGGGATATTTCTAACGTTTTAGTAATTTATAAGCCATTTTTTTCTGCGACCACGCTGTATACCGACTATACGAATACGTCAATTTGAGAGGCAGCTGAGGATGTCAGTACGATTTTACCTTGCTTGCTGGCAGGAAGTCATCTTTATATCTGTATAGGATAAATTATTAGGAATTTTATCAGCAAAACTCTTAAATTATCGTTTGTAGTAGGGCTGGCCAAAATGACAGTATTTATTGTAATGGTGATAAATTATAGCACGATGTGTCGTATGCTAGTAACATGCTTTTCTGAGTGTATGGTGGATATCGTCAGTACGAGAAAACATTTCCCAACTGCATGTTTGAGTACAAAGAAGGCATCATTAGCCCTGTTTTATTAAACTTAGTGCAGCCCAATATGTGAAATAGTGAAGATGAATCATTGATGTATTCATAGTTTTTGATAGTATTTTCAAAATGTGGCACTACTTGTTCAAATTATCAGAAAAAATTAATATCATATCATGTATTGTGAAAACTACTTGAAGGGTTTGTGATATACATTTTTGCTGTATCGCCCAGCTCTAGTTTGTAGCCATCTTTGCATGTGTTGTGTCCACGGCTGTTCCTGTCTGCCAGTGAATTGCAGTGGAACGCAAGCAGCGTAAATGTAAGATGATTTAAATGTCTTCTTTTTCTTCGTTTAGGTTGACGATTGTATTCTTTGCCCTATCTGGGCTTGATGTTCTCGATGCCTTGGATGTTGTGGACAAGCCCAGCTTGATTGAGTGGGTATACTCACTGCAAGTTGTTCCCACTGAGGACCGTAAGTGATGTTCTCTTCTGGATTTAAAACGTTGTATGACTGCCATTAAATCATCCATACATTTGAACAGTGCATGATTGGAACCAGTAATGGGTTCATATTAATAGCTCTGTTCATAGAAACATTCTACTGATTAGGCTTTGATATAGAGTCCTGAATTCCTTTCAGTAAAGTTGTGTGTTTAACGCTTTGAACCAAATTGAAATAGACAAACTGAGATCATTTTAAACCATATCTGGACTTCTTAAGGCAGCACTAGCAGAGAAACCTTAGTACCACTAGATGGCAGTGTTGATCTTTTTAAATGCTGTAAATCTTAATTTTCTTCATAAGACTGCTGTTTGTCCTTTGTTCTCATTATTGTCAGAGTCCAATCTTGGCCGCTGTGGGTTCCGAGGATCATCGCACATTGGAGTTCCATACAATACCTCAAAGGTTGGTGTATAATTTTGTACAAAGCGAAATATCCGATAAAATACACACTCAAGATCTTAACATATTTATATCAGTAGTGTCTTTTACGTTTCAGCTTGCTTGATTTCAGTGCTTTGAAAATGATTTATTCTGATTTAGAATTTAGCTAGTTCTGCATGTTTTCACAGTTTTTAAATGATCTGTAGGACACTAGGAAACTGTAAATAAAAATAATAAATGTTAGCTGTGTCCAAAATGATGAATGGGATTATAGAAGATCGAGACTGAAAAAGCTGTGTAACAGCTGTATAAAGTGCAGACCAAATCTCAGGGCTGGTAACTTTTCAAAAATTAAGAAAAATATATAAATATAGTATATTATTTCTGATTTTATCCTTTCTTCTTCATAGAATTCTTAATAAATGAGTAAAAATAGTTTTTGATGAATAGTTTGTAGTAATTGCACACACACTGTATAAGACATTATTGCATATAAAATAATAAAAATTAACATGTCTGTGCATGTATATGTTTCTGTAATCTAGGGCCCTGGATCTCCTCATCCTTATGACAGTGGCCATGTGGCTATGACCTACACTGGCCTAGCCTGTCTCATTATTCTGGGAGATGACCTTAGTCGAGTCAATAAAGAGGCTTGCCTGGCAGGCCTAAAGGCCCTGCAACTAGAGGATGGCAGGTATGTGGAGTATAGGTATCAAATGTTTTATCTTTTTATAGAAAACTGTCCACTAGGACAGGCATGTTAGGCTGGGTTCTTTGCAGACCACAGCTCTACAGAGATTAGCATTCTTCCTCCTTATTATTCTGAGTTAATTTTCACAAAGGTCTCGCTAAGTAGCTGGTGTGTTGAACCAGGTGTATTTTATAATGAGGCAGGATGCTGAAGTCTGCAGTGCTGTGCCTCATGTGGGCTAGAGTCTGACGTGTGTGCACTAGGGTTATTCCTTGATAGGTTTCAGAAGGTTTGAATATTGCACATCACAGACACCGAAATAATTACAACATAGGAATACACAGTGATGTTAAGTCTACTGATTGAGCATTTCTGGTTAATGTTTCCTGTATCCAAAGAAAGATGCAGACCTGTTACACCCACAGTCAGGTATTACGTGTTGTAGTTCTCATTAGTCATTAGTAAGATGTATTGCTTGGTTTGAACTGTAGTTTAGTTGCATTTAAATGTCAGAGAAGCCAAAAACAATAAACATCTTATCCAAGGCACAGTTTCCCTTATTGTAATTTGAAGGAAATATCTGTACACCAAATCCTTGGCTGCATTTGAAGCCATTGAACATCTGCACAAAGAGTCTCTTTGACATCACCGTGCATCTTCTTTGCCAGTGTGACTCCAATGCTTGGAATGGATGTTGTCAGTTCCCAATGACTTGACATGCAGTTTTGCTGCATTTACCACAAGGCCATTTTTGTATCATAGATATGTGACCCAGTTTGTGGCGCAGACATTCCAAATGCTTTATGTTTTCCTTTTGATGTAATATCCCACAATACAGCATACATGTGTCTCAGCAGACCTTGTCAAAATAAACCCTCTGGATCAAATGTGTTAAACACAATGCATCGAAGTCTTGTTGACTGTGCAGTGAGTGAGTGGTGTCCGTTTTGTCTGCTGTGAAGTTTCTACGCAGTGCCCGAGGGAAGTGAAAATGACATGAGGTTTGTGTACTGCGCTGCTTGTATCTGCTACATGCTGGATGACTGGTCAGGGATAGACTGCAAGAAAGCCATCGATTACATCAGGGGAAGTATGGTGAGTCTGAGACTCTTCCACTTTGATGTTTAAGAAGTTCCTTCCTCTCTAACAAAGACTTGGCAACCTGCAGTGAGACCCTGGTGTAGTAAACACTCTGCAGAGGAATCTGACGAGCTATTGTATCTTTTCCTTTAATCTTTTTACTTTTATTTAAGAAAGCAAACTGTTATTTTAATCTTAGGCTCTACTGTTGGCGTGAAGTCTTGTTTATTGGCTGATACTGAGGCAATCATTTTTCTTTAAAAATGACTAAGCTTTAAAATAAACTGTCTTTAAGTGAAATACTTCACTTAAGATACCCATAAAAATAAGCTACCATACTCAAACTACTGAAACACTCTACTACTCCACAGAAAGAAGTACATATCCTACAATCTTATACAAACTAACAGAACCACAGTTCTAAATTAGGATGGCATGTATGCACATGTTTGCAGTGAAAAATTCTGCGTGTATATGAAGGAAAAAGTCCCAATCATTCTAAACATGCCGTATTTAAGAACATCATTATGTTTAAATCCTTAACATCTTTGGCTTATTATATACTAAGGCTTATTATTCAGTTACTACATGGACTACACTGTAAACTGGCTGGAGGGTCTTGGGCATTTAAGGTTAACAGCCGTCTTGTAGCTAACAGGCTACTCCCGTTCAGAATTACGTTTTGAACTGAAGTACCTAGTGAATGATTCACTAAAAAACTGCCACATGCAGAATGCATGTCTTACAAGCTTCAAATGTCAGCTGAACTGCCATAAGTAGCAGAGCAGGAAAGTCAATGTACGCTACCAGCTTTAAACACAGAGTGGGAAAGTGAATGTACACCACCAGGTTAATGCTTTAGCTTTGTATAAACATAACATTGAAAATCCAATATAGATTATGGCGGAAATGAGCATGAATGTAGTGGTGATAATCAGATGAACAGCATAAAGTTTTCTACAGTGAAGTACTGCTCTACTGCAAAATGAAATTCATGGCTAACCCTATGTTTATGAATAATATGTCAAAAATTGAGAAGTTAGCCTTGTTAGCATCTTGTTCTAATGCTAATATATATACTCTGTATCAGATCTGTGCCATCACTAGTTACTTTGCATTATTTTATTTCAACGTTTTATTCATTTTTTTATTAAACACTGGGAGCACTTTTTATGAAATGTGCTATGTTAATACATTTTGTAAAATAATAGTAATAATAATAATAATAATAATAATAATGTACTGAAATTAATGAAGAAATCTAAGGTCACCCAAGGTCAGCTTCATATAATGTTTTTATTATTTAATTTTGTTCTGCTTTGTATTTAGTGTTACTGTCAAGTTGTCATGATCAGCCTTCTGTTTTAGATTCTTAGATACACTCATCTACAAACAAAGCCATTGAAACATGATACGAAATATAATCATCTCAGCACAAAAGCCAGGCTATTTTACCTCTGTCCTCCCTTTGAACCGCCTAACCCACAGGGGACTGGGCCAGAGAGGGCAAGGGGGCAAGCACAGAAGAGCAGACAGGCGTGTGTTCCGCTCCCTTTATCTGGCTCGTAGAAAATCTGCTTTCTCTGTTGGTGGCAATTCTAATCTCATAGATTATATAATCCACCATCAGAGCCAGCAGCGGTCCTGTTTTTGTTGATTATAGTGAGTAGTACTTTTAAGAGATAGTGGCTACTACAGTTTCATTTGGGGGGCGGGGGGGGGCTAGCATTGGCCCTGAGCTGCGGGTTATTCCCAGATATCTATAAATGGATGTTGTGATGTGGGCTAGAGGGCTCCTCAGGCCAGTAATCCTCTTATGGATTGCATTTTTGGAGCTTGACTTCTTAAACCTCCCAGGGGCCGAGAAAAGAGATAGTTATAAACATTTGCTTGCTATAGATTGTAAACATGAATTGAAGGCTTCATTTGACTTTCATATAGTGCACACTGTTTTCTTATCCTGTTCTTTGTTTTTCAATGATTGTTCATTTTGAATCTTTTATGGAATTATAAGCTTTTCTATAGTGCTTTTACATCCAAACAGACCCATACATTGCATGCACACTTTGGATGTACATAACTGGCATTGACTGTTTATTCTAAGTGATCATAACTCTATATTCTATGTTGTTATTATAGCTGAGTAGGTTAGTGACTACTTACCATGGAATTGATAAGCACATGGACTATTTAAATTAAAACATGATCAACTGGCTGTATCTAAATAAAACAATATCAGGTAAAACCAGTAATGTGATTTTGAATATGCAGTAATTGTCTAGCCAGCGCAATCAGTTTACTAAACATGATTAAGGTCAGCATTATCATTGCTGAAAAATATCACTCTGAATATATAGTACATTTAAAGACCTTCTGGGGTGGGGATTCATGATTAATTTTATTTTTAACATTATCGAAATAAAGTTTCCACAATGACCACATCATTAAGGGATAATAGAATGGGTCAAATACGCAACACCAAAATGACTTAGATTAGATTAGCTTGGTGGGAATGTAGCCGTGTCTGATATTAGAGCAGTGTGCTTAACCACTGTGCTGTTCAGCCAGTTTCAATGACCTGACAACGTTTCCTTTCTTAACTAATAACCTGTAACAATTCCATAAATGTAGTGACTGTTCACAGTCCCTGTGTTGTTTGTAAAATGTGTGGAGCAGCAACAGCTGCTGTCATAGCAAACCTGCATCATCATAAGGAGGTTTTAGAGGAATTATAGTGTTTTTAATAAGTAATCTCATCATTTTACTTTTTTTTTTTTTTTCCCCCCTCCAGTCTTATGACAATGGGATTGGCCAGGGAGCTGGCTTGGAGTCTCATGGTGAGTAGGCATGATTGGAGATGATGTGTGATGTATGTACATGCAGACACAAACTTACCAGCTGCTTCAGTATGCACCTGCCATCTGGTGTGTCCTTAGAACAATTCAGTGAGTGCGAGCTGTGTTCTCCAGTTACTGAAAGTCTCTGTCTCCAGGCACATTTCGCTATCTATTCATTTCTCCTGAATAGTTACTGCTTAGCTGAGTTTCTACGGCTACTGTGAACACTGTATGGTTTAACAAAGGATCACAGGATATTGCTGACAGCCTCTTTGATCTGCCCAAATCTGTGCCTCAAACAGTAATTCACTGATGCATGGCAGGTCAAACACTATTATTTTGTGGAACTTCCCAGCAACTGAATGTGATGCTGCAGGGAGTATATTACTTTGTGCTGTGTTTGACCTTGTCACTTTATAGAAATCTGAACAGATTTTATTGGCTTTTCTCCTAGTTTGCTGTTGCTGGATTGTTGTAATTGTTACTTAGATTTAGCCTGAAGCTTGTAGTTAATCTTTATTGGGTTGTATAAGTAAAATTACAGTAAATACCCAAATATTATCTTAAATACAGGAACCCCTGTATCCCATTGTTTGCCAAATACAAGATTTATATATCACCATCCCTGTTATACTTCATTCTACATTATTAAATATGCAGTTGTGGTATTTAAGTGCTACCTTTAGGAGGGTTGAAGAGAAGTGATGATAGAGCGCCTATAGCAACTGAAAATGCTAAATGCTACCATTGGGACATGGTGTTATTATTGCACTGCTCTTTCCTCAGGTGGTTCCACGTTTTGTGCCATAGCCACACTGTGTCTGATGGGCAAATTAGAAGAGATGTTCAGTGAGAGAGAGTTGAACAGAATGCGCAGGTGGTGCATCCTCAGACAGCAGAATGGCTTCCATGGGCGCCCCAACAAGCCTGTGGATACATGTTACTCATTCTGGGTGGGCGCAACACTAGAGGTAATGGAGAGTCCACATTTCCAACAAGTCCCTCTTTTTACGTTGTTGATGTTTATTTCCGTGAAGTTACGGTATTTTAAGTAATTTTCTGTAATTGCATTCATGGGGTATTCAAAATGATCCTTCAGCAAAAAATGTGATTTACGCAATTTTCCTCTTATCCCAAATGTAGATGATCAATGGAGACACATTTGGTATCCAAAGTTTAATGTTTTATAGTGTAGCGAACAACTCATGGAAGCTTATACCTCAACATTACAGGAACATTAAGTAAAGCCACTTGTTCATATCTGCCACCAGGGAAGTTATTCCTTGTGCATGTCCGCGCTGGCAACAGTAAAATCATTTCATCAATTTCAATATGTAGAACCAGAGCTTTCTGTGTGCTGCTGTGTTTTCTATCAGTCAGTATATTAAATATGCACAAGGCTTTCATTCTTCTTGGATGCACTGTTTTATGAGCTCATTTAGAACAGAATATGCACTGATAAGAGCTCAGTATTGAATTGTTTAATTTTAGTAAACATAAAATACTGATGTGTGACGTATCCTTCTATTTTTGTTCTTAATGATATTTTGTGACAAGCTGAATAAAAATAATTTTTAACCAAATACACAAACACAAAAAACGTCATGTTGAGTAGTTAGATTTGCTTAGTGTTTTTTGATATACTTTAAAAACGGACTAAAGTATAGATAAAATATTCTCAGAAAAGTCTCAGAATAGCTAATACTGTTGGTTTTAGTATTGCAATGTACTTTTGCATGTTTTTGTCCATACTTGGCCTTGTAGCTCCTGTGTGCACCAAACATGCTATAGGTCATTGACTTTATTTGGGGAAAGGAGAAAATTGCATACTTTTTTGTTGTTGTAAGAACACAATCAATTGTGCTTTGATAGAGGGGAAGTTAGTGCTTTGCTGTCCTGACTCTTAAGCATTGCAGTCACTTCCTTTAGGAAGACAGGAAGTTTTCTGGGGTTTTTTTCTACACGTTCAGCTGATGGCTACATGACTACAGTTCTAGTTTACTGCTCCTTTGGATATATTGTGTATAGAGATATTAGATACTGCTGTGATACCAAGGCTTCACGACTCTTCCTCACAGTGCTGTGTTGGTGTTTCACAGCTTGCATGTTGGCTGTGTAAGCACACATCAGCAGTGTGTATTGCCTGTGTTGTGTGTTTGCCCTGAGCAGGGACCTTTCACCATCTGCTACAGCTGCAAATGATTGTTTCTTTACATGCACTATATTAGTTTGCATCTTATTTCCCATCTATGGTCTGTTCCAGGAAATACACTTTGGTTCTTTTAATACAACATGTATAGCTTTTTCATTGACCTGGTTTTGCACTGTATGTTGTATCACAGTTATTATAGTTCAGACCATCACTTCCTCTCATTAAGTACATGGAAATGTGGAAAAAGCAGCGAAACTGTTGAACTTCTTCTAAAAGAAGGATTGCATAGCTCACTAAGGGGCAGAACATTCCATTGCAGTGTTAATGCTTGGTTTGACTAAAAGATTCAGTAAAAACTGGATTATTTAGACACCCTGATTTTAAGGTCAGAGCCCAGCCCTCTCAGTAGATCAAGTACTATTATTATTGTAAGTAAATTCTATGAAACACTAATGATTATACACCAGCCCTGACTGAAAAAAACAGGTGTGTGCATACTGCCTAAGGGCAGTTCATCTTTGTTTGTTTAAAGTAGTATAAAGCATTCCAAGAAATCGGGAAGGTGCAAGTAAAGCTAACACTTTACTTGTCAGTTGCAAATTATTAGACCTAAAGGGGCTGGCAATATGACTGCAGGTATTGATGCTCTCTGATATAAACAACTCGGTGTTCCTTAGGATTTGTAATTTGATGGTCATTAACCATTAAAAACTATAAACAATATTTCAACAGGAGTGAAAAGGTAGAAAAACTCAGTACTATGTGAGCGTTTCAGACCACATGGCAATTGACAAATGCCATAGCCATGGTAACATAAACAGCCCTATGGCAGCAGGCTTTTGTGCAGATGTTTTTTTTAAGCTTTTATTTTCTGGCAGAAGTTGAACTTTGAATCTGTATGAGAGATGGGATTACAGTGGTAAAAATGCATTCAGTCGGAAGTGACTACAGTATCTGTGGTGATGTTGGTGACTAACGCATTTGACCAATCGTCATTTGCTAGCAGTAGTTAGTCGTGGGCTGGAGGTTAGGGAACCGGGAATGTCGCCGGTTCGATCCCCTCAGCTGACAGTACGTGACTGAAGTGCCCTTGAGCAAGGCACCTAACCCCCAGTTGCTCCCCAGGCGCTGTGGATTGGGCTGCTCACTGCTCCGGGCAAGTGGGCTCACCGCCCCCTAGTGTGTGTGTTCACTAGTGTGCATGTATGTGGGTGTTTCACTGCGCGGATGGGTTAAATGTGGAGGTCTAATTCCTCTGTGTGCAAACACAGTAGGCTTATGGTTCTGAAAAAAGTCAGAATGCAGAAAGTTACAACGTACAATTTCTGCCTGGCATCTCTGGCATCTAGAGAGGAATAGAAGGAACAGTTCTATCAACAAGCTGCTCTCCAAAGCCAGTCTCACCTGTATGAAATTGTAGAATTGATCCATCATAAACTGGTAGACACTGCAAAAGATTAATTTGTGTTTATAATTAAAGTCATGAATTTTACCATTGTTGAGGGATGTTTTTAAAATGTTAGCTAGCTTGCTTAGGAGAAATATAATGAAAAATCTGCCAAAATTCTGATTAGTCTGGGGATTATTTGATGTCAGTGTCTTCTGTTATAGTCCTGCCCAACTCCAGTTCAACCGAGGAAACACAGAAGGGCAAAAATATCTCAATCAAAATGGCAAATATTGTGTTTTTTTTAAAGTGGAAGTCAATAATAAATTCATGCCGTACAGCTAAAACCATAAACAGATTTGCAGAATAAGTTCATCCTCTTTGAAATCTGTTTCATTATCTGTATTATTTTGAATAGTTAAAAACTTGTACTATAGCACATTGTTACTGTCAGCATGTACAGTAAGTCAAGACATAGCACAGACTCTGAGTAAACCACTTGAACTAACTTCTGCTATTCTGTTTCTCAGCTTCTAGATGTATTTCAGTTCACTAATTTTGAAAAGAACCGGAACTACATCCTGTCCACTCAAGACAGCCTGGTGGGAGGCTTTGCCAAATGGCCAGACAGCCATCCAGGTGAGATTACTGTTCTCTCTGCAGTGGTGTGTGTGCATATGTGCACATTCGACATTGTTAGTTGAAACCGCAGTGTAACTCAGTACATGAGTGCTGAATGTCTTATTGATGAGATGTTTGTCCAGACTTGCAGGGCTGAGAAAGAACAGTTTCGGGTTACTGGAACATGTGAACGCTTCTGTTAATGTCCAGAATTTTTCTAGATCTCTAGTAGAAAGGTGATCATAAGTAATAATTTAAAATTATAAATGCTCTATTTATGTACTGTAAGTTCTAGAACATTCCCCTGAGAGGAACCTGATCATTTTTGAAGGATGCACTTGTTACATTGATTTATTTGCTTACTAATGTGGATTGATGTATTGCTGTTCAGTTTAATCCAGAATGTTTTCATTATAACTCAATATAGACCACATGCTGTGCAGGAAAATCCTTTTACGGAGGCTCTCTTGGGAGTGTCAGGGCATTTTAAAAGGGTCTTCATGCATTATTCATGAGCCCTTACACTGTATTATATCAGACTCATCTGATTTTCATCTTGGTGTGTAGATATTATCTTTGCATCCACAAAAGCAGAAAGACACACTAAATCAAAACTTAATGGGTTTCACTGTGATGTTCTAGAATTAGGGCTTCACAATACATTGCTTTTTGATCAATATCTTTACGGGTCTTTGCAAGACTGACATCATAGAAGGCTGCAATATTCAAACGCCTGCTATGAAATCACCAAGTTTTTGCTTTATTCCAGTAGAGTGTTTTAATAAAACAAGGCATGCAAATGATATAACAAATGTAAATACCTTTGGTCAAATTTATAATTTAGGCCAGTCTTTAATAATAATCAATGATTCTGCAAAGTACTTTTAATAAATTTCAAGGCATCACAGTAAAATCGCAGTATGGTGTTCTGTTCATCATACAACTCTAGCTAGACTGATTAGCAATGGCTTGGTTCAGTTTTTTTTATCATTAATGTTGAAGTTGAGCTGGGCGATATACGCCTTTACAAGTGTTCAGTAATAATTTCAGCTTAAATAGCAGCATCCATGTTGCCACACTGGTGAAAATATACAATATAAAATAGTATAATAGTTCGTAACAAAATAGTCCAATCAAAACATGCTATGGCAAGGTTATAGCACATTATTTTAGCATAGAGTACCTTTACTTAGGAAGTATGGATCCATTAACTGTATTCATGCAAACTCAAAGGGCAATTCCACAGATTTTCAGACTTTCTGCATAAATAAATCCATTAGATGTTAGCAGAGTCTTTCAGAGTGGTTTGATGTGCACAATGCACCATTCTTAAATAAAAAAGAAATAAAACTACATGAAATGATTATGAATATGCTGCCTGATGTCACTATTTTACAATAGTTTTGTTTTTAGATAAGCTTTCGGCCCAAAACATTTTTTTTATTTTTATTGAAATAAGTTTAAAATAAGACTTAGAAGTCATAGGTAAACATTTTTAAAGTTTCAAAACATACCATTCACTATGCAGTCCATGCAGTTCATATATGAAAATTATGCTGCAAAACCAGCTTTTTTTGAATACCTGTGATGTCACGAGAATCAACTTGTCTTACATATATCCACCTATTCAGCCAACAGCAGTTTGGCCCCACCCATTCATAGTGAAGTTCTAAGGAGTGTTTAATGGCAGAGAGGTACATGCACGGAGAATAGTACCCAAAGAACAGGAAGTGTACGTGCGTGTGTTTTAGTCAAATCAGTGGAATTCTCCTTCAAAAATCAAGTACTTTGACTTATTTGCAAAATGTTGTGCCGTTGAAACCTATTATCATCACCAGCTCTACATTGTGCATGTCCTAATTTACATATCGAGTCCGTTTATGGATATTCTGCCTCTGTGCTCTGTACCAGTAGCTTGAATAGCAGTAGCAGTCGCCATATGTGTGCTGTTCAGCTGACCTACTTTCCCTGCCTCTCCCCCCCATCACAACCTTCTGTGTCTCAGACCCTCTGCACACGTACTTCGGCATCTGTGGCCTGAGCCTGATAGGCGAGCCCAACCTGCGTAAAGTGCACCCAGCCCTCAATGTCAGCGACAGGGCCTTCGAGTATCTGCAGCAGCTGCATCGGACGTGGAGAGAAAGCTGCACATGACAGCATGCCCTCCCACAATCCCGCCACTGTCTGCATCAAGACCACAGCAGCCTACAAGCCATGTGCAGCCCCCGGCAAGTCCAGCCTCGCCCCTCTGAAGCCCAGCCTCATTCACCTTAGCAATAGAAACTGATTGGACCACGGACCGCCGCCCAAAAAGGAGGGCAGGGAGGAAGGACATGATGAATAAGTTATACGGTCTGGCATGATTAATTATTAAAAGTGAAACTGTTAGAGTCGCTGCTTGGCCTGTGCTGACCGTTTGTTTGGGTCGTCTACACATGAACAAGATTTGTTTCTCCCTGATGCATTGTTTTTTCTGGGTTAGACATTGAGAAACATGAAACATTTGGGTAGGGCCATACAACTTCATCTCTAATTCACTTGATGTTTTTTTTGCCTTGGAAGTTTTTTTATTTCTATACATGAAAGCAATCTAATAATGTTGATAATGTACAAACCACGTTTTTGGTTCAGACATTTTGTAAAATGCAATAAAAACAAAAATCTGTAATTTGTTACTTCTCTTGAACCTTTATTTAACTGACAAAAGTACAAAGATTTCCAATTTGTACACTGACCAACTTATTTGTGTTTTGTAAATATAAACAAATTTAGAATTTAATAATTGCAGCACACAAAATTTGGGACAGAGGCATGTTTACCGCTATGTTTACCGCTATGTTACATCACCTTTGCCTTTTAATTACACTTTTTAATCTTTTCAGAACTGAGGATACTAATTGCAGTTTTGCAAGTGGAATTTGTGCCCATTGTTGCTTGATACAAGACTTCAGCTGCTCAACCGTCCATGGTTGTCATTTTCTGATTCTCCTCTTCATGAACCATACATTTTCAATAGGAGACAGATCTGGACTGCAGGTCGGCCAGTCAAGCACACACACTTTGTGTCTGCAAAGCCATGCTGTTGTGGCATGTGCAGAATGAGGCCTGGCGTTGTCTTGCTAAAATAACTATGGACTTCCTGGGAAAAGAAGTCATCTTGATGGCAGCATGTGTCTCTCTGAAATCCTTTTATATGCCTCCACGTCAGTGGTACTTTCACACATATGCAAGTCACCCATGCTGTGGGCACGAACATGCTGAAATGTGGACTCATCTGAACACAGCATACATTTCCACTGTCTTTTAGATCATCTGAGATAAGCGCGGGCCCAGAGAATCCAGCAGCGTTACGGCATAGAATTGATGTATGGATTTCTCTTTGCGTAAGAGTTCAAGTCAAACGGGGGGACATTCTGGGTCATTGTTCTTCAGACATTAGCGTTTACCCTCATCTAACGCTTTGAATTCAGTTCATGAAGGCCTTGATAATTAGCTGATGAGTCAAACCAGGTGTAGTTTAATGAGGCAACGTGCTGAAGTCTGCAGTGTTTTTGCCAGTGAGGAGCTTGACACGTGCCCTACACGGACTGAGGTTTCTCTGGATTTCCTGAACATTATGTAGAATAGATTGTGAAAGACCTAGATTCTTTGCAACCTTGCATTGAGAAATGTTATTTGACTGTTTGACAATTCTCTCACAAAGTTTGGCACAAATTGGTGAACCCATTTTGCAAAGACTGAGCCTTTGGTGGATGCTCCTTTTATACCAATTATGATCTCCTCATCAGTTCACCTGCTTATTGTGGAATGTTTCAAAACTGCAATTTAAATATTCTATAAATCTTTCACTCTTATTTTGCTTCTGTCCCCTTTTTGAGTGTGTGGCAGGCATCAAATTCAAAATTTGTATTTACAAAATACAGATTGGTCAACCAAAACATTGTCATTTCTTTGTACTTTTGTCAATCAAGTAAAGGTTTCAAGAGTGCGTTTTAGAAAATGTCTCAACTTTTCTGGAAATGGGGTTTGTAGATTAAAATATCTATTCAGTGCAACGTCTCCTTTAAAATATTCTTATGAATATTCTTTAATATTCTGTACAGTATTCTTTTTGTCACTCTATATAATGTGTTGTATCATTTGATATCTTTTTCAAAGCAAAAGCTGATTATTTTAGAAGTTGTTTTACTGAAACAGACCATGTAGTCAAAAGACTGTCTTCTCATTGAATGTGCCTCAGATATGTAACTGTGCACCCAACTTTAGAACAAACTTCTATTCTTTTCACTCTTTGCCTGTGTTGCTGCAAATTGACGTCTCTTCTCAAGAAGACACTTGAATGTTCGCTTCAAGGTTGAGGGAAAAAAAAAGAATTTATTTTTTCTATAAATATACGGATATCAATGTCAAAGGGATGTCAGTGATGGCACTCACCTTTCTATTGTTATGAAGTGCTAATACTGTAAATTGCAATTCCAGTGAGTGTTAATGAATTACTGAATAGCATATTCTCATGTCAGATAAGTAAACAATTATAACTGCTGGTGAGGCGGTGCATATTTAATTGGGAATAAAATGAAATTTTGAATTTCCATTGCGTTTTGTCCTGGGTTTATTTCGACGATTTCTATGACATTGTCATCGATTAATATGATTTTTGCATAATTCAGTGCTTTAGATGTAAACAAAGTCATTCAGAGTGGTTTGATGTGAAATGGTGCATTGTAGAGAAACTTACTCAGGTTTCTGTACAGTGGCGGTGATAGGAACCAGGGGTTGTGACCTCTAAAAAAATGTTTTGGTCTAAAATCTCATTTTTAAGCTGTCATAAAGCAATATCTCAAGCATCAGACAGTACATACATAACCATTTTATGTAATAACTTTCTGGTAACTTTCTGGAGGGAACTTTTGGAGGCATTAAACTCTTCAGACGTCTGGTTCCAATCAGCACCACTGTAAACATCTCTGAACAGTACACTTCAAACCACTCTCAGTGACTTTACATCTTAATGATTTGATTTTGATGAAATCTTTAAAAATCTGTGGAATTCTACTTTAAAAAAGAGCACTTAATGTACGCTTGGGGTTAAAACTACATAATAACCTAATGCCCACATTGGTGCTGATTCCCCAGTATGAAGTGCAATCAAATTGATTAACAGAAAGACAAAAGAGTAGGATAACAGAAAGAATCCATTCAGAAATTAAGCTGATAACACATTGCTACAGAGAGGTCCAGTGGGGATGCTCAACTCTATAATTGAACTAATTTGATGAATACGCTATAAATGAGGCCAAAGGAGAAACAGATTTACTTTTTATTAGAGTTTACTGAATAAATTCATTTTCAATGAAACACAACTACCTAAATCACTGATTTTCAGTAACTCTCAGATTGACCTTCGCTGGGATGAATATAACCCTGTTGTACACTAATTCTTAATTTGTGTAAAAAGTATTTTCTGTGATTGCTTTGTGTTTCTGAACTCAGACTAATTTGTGATGCCACTTAATAAGCCAGCAGCTCTGAGTCAATATCAAAGTCTAGCAATATTGATTCAGAGGAAATGCAATTCTGGCTTTTGCTGCAGGTTCCACAGGCAATGATTTTCCAACAAATGAAGTGAAGTTGGCTTTGATAAACTATGAGCAAAGTCTACAGACACATCATCTGAACTTGAACTAAATGACTGAATGATTAAGTTTAAATATTGTTTATTTTTCATTATTTGTAATAGCACAACCTCGCTACATAGCTTTAGTATTTAGTATTAGTAGGGGTGGGGGAAAAAATCGATTCTTAGATGCATCGTGATGCGGATGTGAACGATTCTGAATCGATTCACAAATGTCAAAAATCAATTTTCTAAATATTTAATTTATAACGTAATGTTGACGGAACGCAAAAGGCGGAACTTGGAAGTGCGGAATTGCGGCGCCCGGACAGTCTGTGGCAGCACATAACAAAAACACTACTGGATGAGCGAGAAATCCGACCGGCTCCCTCTGCATTAAAGGCAAGGTTAGATCAGGAGTCACAACACAAATGATAAGAAGAGACATTTTGTCCTTTCAACAAAAATCAAACCACCTTGGGAGCCACAACATTTAACGTCCAGTATGTCTCAGTATGCGCTGATGTCCTAGTATAGACTAAACAATATAAACGAAAACGATTTACTTCGCTCTGCTTTAAGCTTTGCGATTTTATCGCATTTTAAGCAGCTTCTTGTGCTCCAAACAAGAGCACTGAATGAGAGCCTTCTAATTCACTTGCCACATCACTTCCATCTGTTTTATTAAAAAAGATATTGGAAGTAAATTCATTATGGATCATTACAAATACTTTGCTTTAAAGGTACCAAGTCACTTTAAATAACAACACTGAGTCACTTAGTCACTTTAAAATGTATATTGTCTCTATATTCTGTATATATTTTGTGTATATTTAATATATTTCAGTTGGTTTTTCTTGTATTTTTATTTTTACTAATTTACTTTCTGTAGTGATTAGAGTCTCACCACAAGCATTTCAATGCATAAATGTCCTCACATGTTGTGCAAATGACAAATAAACTTGAAACTTGAACTCGAAACTTGAGCTAACACAGTGAGAAAATATAAATGCTATATAGAAAAAAAGATGCATCGAGATGCATCGATAATCGTTTAATAATCGCATCGCAGCCCTCTGAATCGTAATCGAATCGAGTCGTGAGGTGCCTAGAGATTCCCACCCCTAAGTATTAGTATTGAGTAGTACTTAGTATTGAGAATCAATGCTAAGCAGCTCATTGCTTTTCACTGTGCTTAAACACAGTCTAATGGGCCACTCAGTTAAGCCTCAAAAACCCGATAAATCTCCTTTTCAAAAACATAAAACTCACAAAAGTGTGTATTCATAAGCGTAGTCTAGTTGTATGTGTTTTACCTTTAAAATAAATTGCAAACTATATTTTTATCAGGGTTCTTTTGACTATGCTAATGTCTGGAACAGGACGTTGCGCATCTGCATTTTTTTTAAACCAAAATGTGAAATTGCTGTTTATTTAAAACGTGTGATGAATTAACACTAACTACACATAGATCCTGATGACTCTACTGTTATTTTCATTGGAAAGTCTCTGTTTACACAGGAAGTAATGACAGTAGTGAATGCTAGCGGTCTGTTTTCTTGTAGGCAGGCTGAAAAAAGTCATTTCTTTCACAGTCACGGATACATAAAACGATTATTTACTTGATGCAGTTCCATTCACACAGCTGACAACAGCAAATTAAAATGAAGCTCAACTGTAGATCAACTGTTGGAAGACATCTACTTCCTCTTTCTCTGCGGTACTGTCAAACCAGGATACAACTTAGAGCTTCCCATTTCGTTAATCAGTATTAACCAAATGTTATATTGCTATTATTTAAACATACACCAATCAGCTATAACATTAAAACACCTCCTTGTTTCTACACTCATTGTCCACTTTATCAGATCCACTTAACATAGAGGAGCACTTTGTAGCTCCACAATTGCAGACTGTAGTCCATCTGTTTCACTGTGCACTTTGATAAATTAGCCTCCATTCATCCTGTGTTTCAGTGTTCAGAACCCCGATCAGGACCACCACAGAGCAGGTATTATTTGGGTGGTGGATCATTCTCAGCACTGCAGTGACACTGACATGGTGGTGACAAGTTAGTGTGTGTTGCACTGGTACGAGTGGATCAGACACAGCAGTGCTGCTGGAGTTTTTAAACACCGTGTCCACTCACTGTCCACTCTATTGGACACACCTACCTTGTTGTTCCACCCTGTAGATGTAAAGTCAGAGACAGTAGCTCATCTGTTTCTGCATACTTTGTGTTGGTCATCCTCTTGTCCTTCATCAGTGGTCAGTTTCTGGATGCTGTTCACTGAATATTTCTGGTTGGTGGACTTTTCTCTGTCCAGCAGTGACACTGAGATGTTTAAAACCTCAGTCTACCACAAAGTGCGTTTGTATGGTAAGTGGAGCTGATAAAATGGACAATGAGTGTAGAAACAAGGAGGTGGTTTTAACGTTATGGCTGATTGGTGTATAATACACAGTGGAATGTGTTAGTATTCTGTGAGATCTGCATTTTCAAAATGGAAATGTTAAAAGTGGACCCCCTCCCACACCCCCCGAGGTACACTTTTAACATTTGTGTGGATTTATGTATCAAGTCATAATTAATTTTTACATGATCAGCCTTTACATGATCTTTAACACTCAGAATTAAACATTTTTACCTTTAAACTCTCAAATTGAGCACAGGCGTGATTCAGCACAGAAAACGTGCACATTTACATGCTGAGGAAGGCTGTCTGTGATTAAGATCTATTAGATAATTATTTATTAGTGAGTTTAATAAATATTTTGGGCAATTATACTTGTGCTGTCTGAGCTCTTTCATTTGAAGAAAAAAAACATAAAATGTGGCCTGTGCAAAACTTGTGGCACATGATATTTTAATGTTTTATTTTTTCCGATATGTTAAATTCACCAGATAAATATATTGTGCACTAAATATGACTACACATGATTGTATGTTTACGTACTCCATCAAACTTGTGTTTAAAAAAAATGTTACAGATTTGGTGAGCAGGCTCTCTAAAGACTTAACTGACTGCCCCATAGGATTGTGTTATGTCTAAGTCAGAAGCTGCAGTTTCTTAGTTCTAAAGCTATCAGCAAGATTGTGCTATGCATAATAGAAAATGATGAGAAACAACAATTTTATTGAGGCCTGAGATAAAAAAAGGGCAAATCTACCCTTAAGCACAGTGTTGGTTTGCAGCTTGGCCAGACAAGCCAGCACAGTCAAAGTATTTCAGTTTCCTTTCTGTTTTAGCATCATTTCAGAGAATTTATTACCAACATGACTAAAAAAAATTAAATGTAACTCAATATCTGAAAATTCATTAAAGGACTTTCATACAATATACTTCAGTAATGGGCTCCAAATATATGAGTGTAGAGCTGTGTGAGCATGTTTGGGCATTATTTAAATGATGCCGTTGTGCATTTCCACAGATGAGGCAAAATTCAAGTTGAAATGAGTTGTGTTGACCTCAGGCATTGAACAGGAATAGCATCACATGATTCACTAGCCTTTCTGCACGGCAGAATTCTAATTTCCTCTCTACTGGGTCGTGTTAGTAATGCATAAATTTCCCCATGGCGTGCAGACCTTTGTTGGAATTTATTGGTTGCCAAACGCTTGACCTAATTGCATTATTTGTCTCCGAACAAAGATTTATTCAAACAAATGCATAATCTGTGCTCATTTTTCACACTGTGACCTGATAACCAACCTGTGATTGCCATCATTATCTCACAGTGGGATGATAACTGAAAATTAGAATATGAAAAATAATTTTAGGCCTTGTAATTCGGCATAGTCTTGTGGATTACGTGGCACTCTGGCAGTCAGCATGACTGATTTAAATAGTGCCATGTTCAGTATTGTTGACTGTAATCACAGGCTTAACTCTAGGATGTAGTAAATGTTAGGGCGGGTTCAGGAATTGTGAGCCATCAGGGGAATGGTAGTCGGTTGGCCAAGACATGTTTGTGTCTGAAGCTTGCTTCTTTAGTTTTGCACTGGAGCTACAGGACTAAGTAAAAAAAATAGCTCCAGTGCAAAACTACAGAGGCAAAAATTTAACCCCAAACATATCTTGGCTGATTAGCTACATTTGCGATAAAGGGAGATGGTGTGAACTAGATTTTTTGATGAACCACTCATTTGAGAAACTCTTGTTTCTTGCCGTTTTCAGTAATGTATTACTGAAATACTCTAGATAGTCTTATTAAATTACAAAGGAACACTACATGTCTAAAAGTACCCAGATAATCTGTCTAATTATAGTATATTACTATTTATTACTATTTTAGCTTGTATACATCATGGTCAGGATCCTCACAAGACCACCACTGAGCAGTTATTGTTTGGGTGGTGGATCATTCTCAGCACTGCAGTGGCACTGATGTGGTGGTGGCGTGTTAGTATGTAGCATTAGCACAAGTGGATCAGACACAACAGTGCTGCTGAAGTTTTTAAACACTGTGTCCACTCACTGTCCGCTTTTGTGTTTGTGTGCGACACAGAGCTGATCTCACATCTCAGTGTTAGAGCTGGGCTGAGAATTATCTAGCCAACAGAGTCCTGAGGTCAGAAACTGACAGCTGATGAAGGACTAGATAATGATCAACATAAAACTGTGCAGCAACAGATAAGCTATCATCTCTAACTTTACATCTACAAGTTAGGAGTGTCTAATAGGGTGAACATTGCATGAATACAGGGTTTAAAAACACCAGTTTCATTACAATAAGTGCAGTGCTGAGAATGATGCACCACTCAAATAATACCTACTCTGTGGTGGTCCTGACCATTGAAGGACGTGCTAACTAATTTAGCAGTGAAACAGATGGACAACAAACTGTAATTGCAGAACTACAAAATGCACCTATGTGATTAGTGGAGCTGATACAATGGACAATGAGTGTAGACACAAGGTAGGTGTATCTAACGAAGTTGCCAGTAAGTGTATAATCTCCATAGAAAAGCCTTGACAATAGAATGGGACACTCTAGAGTTTAGACATACATGAGCTTAGGTTTAGCACCTTCATTTTAGAAAATAGAAAGCAGGTGTCCAAAAACCTTTGGACATACAGTGTATTTTGGTGGGCTTTAAAAAGATGGTTCCTCAAGTGTGTTTTAGTAAAGACATTCATGGTGGGTCCTATAAAGGATGTTTTTTGAAAACTGTTCTATATAGCACCAAAAAGTGTTCTGCTATTGTTACAAGCTCGATATTGTAACAATGCATTGCTGTTGGAAGAAAACCTTGTATCTCCATTTTTTTTTTCATTATTATTTTAATAGAATCTAAAAACAGCATCTGTTCTGTACATTGTCTCAAAATTTCATGATAAATGGACCAACAGAAATGGTCAAAAGTCTAAAGTGACTTGGAAGAACATACCACTTTAACTTCCATTAAAAATTAAGAATATTTTTTCCTTCTCCTGTAAAGTTATCACTTTGGAGACAGTGACAAATAGCAGAACACTTTTTGGTACTCTATAGAACCATTTTCAAAAAAACACAACACATTCTCCATCAATCTGAAGAACTGTTTCACCATGCAAAGAACCATTTAAGCATGCAAATGGTTCTTTGAGTGACCATGGTTCCATATAGAACTACTGTATATGAAGAACCATGGTTAGAACCCACGTATGTGAAGAACCATCTGTGTAAGAGTGGTAGGCTCATTAAATGAAAAAAGTCAACTATAGCTGGAGTACTGGAGTATATAACTGGAATACTGGCTTTGTAAACCCAATGTTGCCCCATAATACCTGAATACAGAATCCACCCTAACATCTAATTTGCTGGACAGAAATTCATCGTTTGTTTCCATATTTGCTGCTCCCTGGAGCAGTCTGGCCGTAGCTAAACACAGGGTTGCACTGACTGCACACAAAGAGCTCTTAGCATCACTGACGACACTGAAGCTCACGCCCATAGACTGACAGTGGTGGGCGGGGCCTCGCGCTCTAGAGATCATCCTCACACTTTAATTCACATCATCGTCTCCCTCTTAGAGCAGCCAGCCATCGATCCAGCACTAAAACCCCGCTCTCCGGACACTATCCCGTCCCACGGAGGACGATGCTGACACGGGATCATAAATCATCGTGTTGGCTGTAAACCTGTAACCTGTCCGCGGCGGTTAAGCTCCAGCGGTGAGCTGTAAGAAGGCTCGGCTGATTCACTGTCAGGACTCTTCCCTCCTTCTGGTGCTCGAGTCATTTCTTTATCTTGTAATTATCCTTTCTGTACTCCGTTTCTATCGATCGGGATCTAAAGATGTCTGACTCGGAGGAGATCACAGAGTTTGGGAGCATAGTGGAGCGGATTGAGAAGGGAGAGGTGAGTGAGCCTCCATTCACTGCAGTTTTAGCATCTTTCTTCTCAGCAACGTGTCGAGGAGTCGCTGCTAACAGACGGGCTGCTGCAGCACAGGGAAGGCCACGGCTACTGCAACCATTATTAATTTACTGTGGAAATGACTTCAGTAGGCAAAAAACAAAGTTTGACTATTTATTGATTTATTTTTGGAAGACAACACAACAAGCAACGTACTTATTTTCATTACCTCTATGAATCTTACCTTATCTTAAAAAAGAATAACCTGTGCACACGAGTATGAGGGGCTAGCCCACTCACTGACTGATTTTAAGGTCAATTTCTACATACATTCCTTTGTCGACGTCCATTCCACACATTATGTCTAAACATGTCATTCTATTTAGAGCCACTTGGTGGCATGAGAAGAAATAATATAATTACTATATCTGTAACAAGCATTTCAATTTAAAGGGGAACTCCACATATTTTTCCAAAATTCCACTTAATTAAACGATTGACATGTAAACAGAGTAATTCAGAGTGGTTTCATGTGAAATGCTCCTTTTTGGAGAAACTTGCAGAGTCAGGATTGTTCACAGCGGTGGTGACAGGAACTAGATAGACATCCACCTCTAAAAGCCCCTTTACAGAACATGCTGCGTGATGTCTGACACATTGTATTATGATAATTTTGTGATAAAGTTAAAAAAATAAATAAATGGAATGCTTAAAATGTATTTTAATCAATTTACTTTAATCCATTCATGGTGGAGGGGTACATGCAGGGTGTTGTGAGGGTGTAGTCCCAAAAGACAACATATTTTTTCCAAATTTCCTATTTTACCGTCACAAACATTACATATACAAATTAAGTGGATACGTGTAGGTTCACTGGTAATTTTGGGTAGTAAATAAAATGGCTATATTTGTGTTGTAGACATTGTGACCCCTGGTTCCCATCACCACCACTGTAAAAAATCTGAGTCTGCAAAATTCTCTACAGTAAACCACTTCACATCAAACCACTCTGAATGAATTATACAGAAATTCTGAAAATTTAGTGGAATTTCCCTTTAACAACTGAAATATGTTAGGCTAACTCAGGTGAAACATGGGAGGCTAAGCCTGGAAAATGAGGGTAACATCATGAACAGTCAGATGGGTGTAGAAAGCGACATATTCTTCATCTGTTTCTGTCGGGACTGACCTGAGCATGAATGAGGATATAATTCTGATGAACTGAACGACTGTTTTCTTGGTACGTTTAGTGATTTCGGGGGCAGTTTTATGATTAATTTAACGCGCTGGTAACCCGGTAACAGTTGGTGGCTTCACGGCAATCCGATACTGTCCCCGCCCCCTACTTTGAATACCAGGATCGTTACCATGGCGACCGTCTGTGTCTCCACCCAATCTGCTCTCTTTCTGCGGCCGCTTGGCCGCTGCTTCTGCTGCTGACTCACAGCGTCTACTCATTCATTCGTACCGTCGGCTGTTCGTGTCGAGAGACCGGCTCTAGAAACTTAGCAAACAAAACTATAAGCTGTTTAAACAGACAGCGTTTATGATGACTGCGATGTCGAGGCGTAGTTCAGTGCAGGTAAGTCATGTAAACAGTAGATTTGGCTGCGGAAGCTCTGTGTTATTGTTCCTTAGCTGCATGCTTGATGATGGCGAAGACCACCAAATTTCACCGACCGTGTTTTGAATTTAAACGACCCGTGAGGAAGGCAGTAAAAATCACATATCGTCGTATTTGAAACAACGTTTCTTCAGAAGGCGTTAGGCCTTGTTTGAACAAAGAACAGGCCTCCAGAAAGTAACGAGACATTTAACAATGGCTTACTTACTTCCCCTCTTCCCGGGTGCTGTGCTTTCAAAAGCAATATGCTAATTTGGCTTGGGCTCAGTTGCGGTAGACTGCCGGCGAGCCGAAAATAGCCTCACAGGCGAGGTTAAAGCTTTATTTTCCCGTTTGAAATGGTGTTCATTTTATTTAGAAGTTGTCTCTGTGTTGAACACGCTAACGTGTTCAAGAATATTTGCCAGCTGTTTACTTTTCACATAGTTGGGTACCTCATGAGGCGTGCAGGTTCACAGAGGCTCACTGTATTCTGCTACTGTTTATTGAGACTAAATGAGCTCTGAGCGCTCTCTCTCTCTCTCTCTCTCTCTCTCTCTCTCTCTCTCTCTCTAAGTTCACTTAAATATGAAGTGGTGGACAGTGTGATTTTTGTGCAGTGATGGCTGTAGTCTGTCATGATGAGACTTAATTGGTTTAAGAACTTTTATGTTGTGTAGCTGTGAGGATCAGCGCTGTCATACTTTAATTAAATTGGCACAATAAAGATGTGTTAAATCTCTTTTTTTCTGACCTCTCTCTTTTGCTTTCTCTTCTATCTCGCTTCTGTTTCTGTTTCTATTTAAATCTCTCTCTCTCTCTCTCATTCTCTCTTACTGTTCCTCTCCCTCACTTCACTCGTTTTCATCTGTCTCTCTTATGTTTGTCTTCCCTGTTCATCTCTCTCTCTCTCTCTCTCTCTCTCTCTCTCTCTCTCTCTCTCTCTCTCTCTCTCTCTCTGCTCATTCTCCTCTGTTTCTGTCTCTCCTATTTCTCTCTCTCTCGCTTTACTCTGTCTCTCTCTCACCTTTGATTCTCTCTCTCCATCGCTTCACTCATTCTCCTCCATTTGTCTCTGGGTCTGTGTCACTGTCTGTCTGTCTCTTTCTCTCTATCTCTCTATCTCTATCTCTCTCTCCACCCTGTTCCTCTTCACCTGCAGGTACCAATAAGGAACATAGAGCGGGAGCTCATTTGCCCGATCTGTAAGGAACTGTTCACGCACCCTCTCATCTTGCCCTGTCAGCACAGCGTCTGTCACAAATGTGTCAAAGAGCTACTGCTGCTGAACCATGAGGACTCCTTCAGCACAGATGCAGGCTCCGAGTGCTCCAACCCAGGCAGCCCTCGCTCCAGAGTGCCCTCTCCCAGCATGGAGAGGCTGGACAGGATTGTGCGATCAGGTGCGTTCCAAATCTGGCATGTTGTGGTCTAAATGGACCTTGAATTGACCCGCATGTCCAAGGCCTGGTTATGAAGTGATGCTCATTAAACTCCTCCTGGGGTATTTTTTAACTCCACGTGCTCTCTGTTTACATATAATGTATAAAAAAGCAAAGATATTCAGTTTGTTACTTGTTTTGCTTGGTACTGTCTTCTGCCCTGCAGGTGCCCGTTTGAAAGACAGCTACCACAAATGTGTAGTGTGAGGGGAATTTTCTGTTTTGTGCAGAAACCACAAGTAATTATCCTGGCTAATGAACGTAACCAGATTTATAAATACTGCGTGTGTTACAACACATGACTGAACAAAGCCCACTTCTTATCCAGTTTAAGCCACTTAAAAAAAATCTTAGATTAAGAACTTTTTTTTGGAAATAGTGTGGTAGCTGTCACAATGTTTTTAATGTTGTTAGCATGAAATTGGTACTGAATGTTGAGAATGAAAGATCCTAAGTCCCTACGTATAGAGACATTTTGGTTGTTTTTACACTGTGTATGCATTACCTTATTTATTCCCAGGACTTGAATGGTCCTCTGTCAAAAAATGTTGGAAAAAAGATCCAGATAGTAATAGAGTCCTATATTATTGCCCCACATGGGTAGGTAAAATAATAACTGATGCCCCACTCAGATAGCAGATTTAATGTAGGTTAAGACGCTTGTGAATCTCATTTGGGGATCCCCCAGCAGAGAAAGAGTTGTCTGATGTTTTCTAGTTATAACTCTCCCAAAGGGTTGTCATGGTGATGCACTCCAGCTGGAATGAATGAGGAGGATTAAATCGAACGCAGCCAAATACCTCAGGATATTTTCTATCATCTAGCGTTTGCTTGCCCCACATTTGCCTAAGCAAATTAGCCGGCATTGTTTTTAGCTTCCCGTAAAAAGATCTACATCCAACCCATATAGAATAAGGAATATTTCTGTTTATTTTTTACCCCTTCACAGTGTCAGCTTTGCATTACAGTGTTTCACAAGTAATGTGACGTTGTTATTTCATGTTATTTCTGTGCAATCATGAGCTGTGAACCAGGTCTCACTCCACTTCTGTTCACATTTGTTTTTTGTTTAGTCTTATTTTCACTTCTCTGTTTGTCGCTTGCAGCCTCACTGAGAAGGTCGTTTGGAGGGAGAGGTAGATGTGGGTTGCATAATTTGAATAGCTGTAGTGAGTACGGTGTTTTTAGAACCCCTGTGTACACACATGCACACTATTTCTCTGTATTCCCTTTTACAAGCAGTTCCTTGTGTGAGACTGTGTAATGGAAAAACAGAATAGTGGGACACTCTTTTAAAAGTCTGCTGAGCATATTTACTGGATAATGTTGTGACCTATTGGCACTGCATTATTGCAGTATGTCTGAAAACCTTTCTGAAGGAATGAACTAAGCAGGGTTGATAATTTAGAGAGAAGAAAGACTAAGGATAGAAAAAAGTGTGAATGTTGCCATGGAGGTATGGTGGGATTGGAATTTGGGGCCATGCTGTAGAGTATGAGTGCATGGACCCCTCCTGTTTCCTCCCCTGGATGGAGAATATATTGCAAAGCGTAAATTATTTCCTTAAAAATATTTATAAATTGCATAAAAGCAAGAAAACTCTGCACAGTTTTCATTAAGCAACACATGTGACTGACTAATTGACTGCTTAGGACAATGTGAGATGCTAGAGCACTATGTTATACTTTCAAATGTTTCTCAGTAACTAAAATTTGCCCATTCAGATAACAGATAACTTGTATTTCCATTATTAAGTCCAGGAATAAATTAGACAGATTTTGTTGAAATATGCTCAGTAGTCTTTTTAAAAAAAACATGCAGTGATAATTTTGGATGTGTTTCGGAGCGCTACACCCCTTTCTCCCACCTTTTAATGTTAAAAGCACGCCTCTCCTCCCAACTAATCAATCAGTGAAATAAGAGTCCTATAACAGCACAAAGTTAGTAGAGATGGCATGATTCTGCTTTTTGCTTTTCCAGTATGCACTCATTTTCCATTTTATCAGCTCCACTTACCATACTGGTGCACTTTGTAGCTGTACAGTTATAGATTGTAGTCCATCTGATTCTCTGCATAATAATTTTCTTTCCTTTAACCCATTTGTCAGTGGTCAGTAGGTTGACCATATTTTGGTTTTCAAAGAAAAATGACCCTGGAGGCAGGGGGACAGCACAATGCAGACTTTAGGAAGCAAAAGCCAAAATGAAAGCAAAGTCAAATCTGACATTTTTGGCAATTTAGAAGTGCTGGCCATCTTTTTTTCAGGTCCTGAAAAGAGGGATTCACTCATACCAGCGCAACACACACTAACATAACAACTGCAGTGCTGAGAATGATCCAATACCTAAATACTGCCTACTCAGTGGTGGTCCTGACCATTGATGAAAGGTGTAAAGGGGGATAGTAAAATATGCAGAGAAACAAAAGAACTTCAATTTGCAGATCTACAAAGTACACCTATGTGATGAGTGGATCTGATAAAATCACACTGAGTGTAGATACAAGGTAGGTGTATCTAAGTGACGAGTGAGCGGATTAGAGCATTGTCTGATGCTGATAACGATCCAGTATTTTTTTTTTTTTTCATTTACTAAGCTTTAAAATAAGCTATTTTCATTTGAAGCACTTAAGACAGCAATACATAACCAACATCAGATATAGAGTAAAAGGACACTATTTAAAATAAAAGCGTAATTCTGGTGTAATAATTAGCTAGCTGTGGCTTCTATTATGTGACCTACTTTACTGTGCTTTACAGTATTTTACCAGCAATTCTAGGCTTGTTACAGAATTGGATCAGATTAGTTCTTTTAATACCTCTGATATCCAGTCCAGCATTTTTTGCTGGTATCAGCCTAATACTAGGCTTGGTGCCATCTCTAAAGTTAGTGATTATAATACAGCTTATGATAAACTAGTGAGATACGTTTATGATATTAAATGTAACTTTTGATGTACAGTGAGTCGCAGAGGCATTAACTTCACATGCCTCAGACAGGCTTGCTAATTTCCAATGCGATAGGCACACATAGCCTGTTCACTCCATGACATCCTCAAAGATTAAGATTCACAGTAATGCCACTGTCCTGTCTGAGAGGGTGCTTGCTGTTGATTGTGGTTTTGTAGGGGAAGTTACCTCTGTGCCCTGCCAGAATGGCCTAATGATGACTCGCCTGTTTCTGGTCTGAGCGTTTTATTTTTTTTTCCCCCCTCTGCACTGAGTCTCACTGCGGCAGCAGCAGCAGCTAGCCTCAGTTTGCCGTGCTGCAGATGCTGCCTGCTACTCCCCTCCCCGAGCAGCACAGCACACCCACAGCCTAAGTACATGCTTCTTTTTATAACGCACCCCCACCCATTCCCCCATTTCCCCCTCAAATCGGGTCAGCTCCCATCGCAAAGATCCTCACCACGTCCCCTTCGCCATCATTCCGTAGTCCTTGCCACATTACTCCATAACGCTCAGGGGTCGTGAGTCCATCACGTCTCCGTTCCCCATTAAAACACTGCGCAGTCTCTGTGGTCGCTGCATGTTTGTCACAGAAACACTATTTTTTTTGCATCCATCAGTCACTCTTGTGCCATGCAATGTCATGTCACTGTCTTGTTGTGTCCTTGTTTGCCATGCATCTCAGTTTGGAGTTTCTTTAGCTGAGTGTTCCAAACATGCTGCTTGCTTCTGCTATTAATGTTTGTTGTGAATGCTTAGTGATGTCAGTGATTACTTTCTCTTGCGACTTTCCTTGTGACTTTCTTGTGAAATAGTGAGTTTTGTGAATGTGAATGTACTGTGCATATGTGTTAAATACATTGAACTGGACAAAGAGCAGTTAACAGTAAAGAAAAGCCTTCTCAAGGTGTCTTGTATTGAATAAAAGTCTAATGGATGGGGTAACTGTCAGCAGTTATGACCTCTCATGAAAGTTTTTTTTATTTTTTAAATCATTACATGGTCTGTGAGTCTGCTACATTGTCTGTCCATATTGTTTTCAGTTAACATTATAAAATTGGTTAGTTATTCATTCACATGTGACATCTTTTTGTTGACTTTGTTTGAACTTGTTATTGTCCAGATCATTGTGAGCATTTGTGGCATTTCCTTTTTTGCTGCATTGTGTGCGAGCACCCTGAAACTCTAGTCGGCTGACTGGGGTTTCATCTTTTTAGGTCACCGGTGCTTCCTTTTAGCGCATGATTGTATGCACACTTCTCCACCTCTTTACCTGACGGTTTCATGTTTCTGCTAAACCAGGGTCTGTATCCTCCCCTGGCTGGAGGCGTTCCTCCGTGACCCCCCGCGTCACCACCTTCCCATGTCCGGGCTGCCAGCATGATATTGACCTTGGGGAGCGGGGCATTAGCATGCTCTTCCGCAACTTCACGTTGGAGAGCATCGTGGAGCGTTACCGGCAGGCGGCTCGGGCCGCCGTGGCCATCATGTGCAACATGTGCAAGCCTCCTGTGCAGGAGGCCACCAAGAGCTGCATGGACTGCAAGGCCAGCTACTGCAATGAGTGCTTTAAGCTGCACCATCCCTGGGGAACGCCCAAAGCCCAGCATGAATATGTTGGGCCCACCACCAACTTCAGGCCAAAGGTAGGGCATGCTGCTCAAAATGCTGTCAAATGTGGGGCATTTGTGACCTTTTGCAGATCAGCTCAATTCTTAATGTAAATTCCTAACAGTTTGCTTTCTTGCCATGTTTACTGACCTTTGTTTGATATTTAATCAGTTTATAGCCAACTTACATTTGCTCAAGGATGTGAGAGTATGTAATGTTGGTATTGGGGTGCACAAAATGGACAAAATGCTAGTATTTTGAATATATTGCTACAGGTTGCATTTGTAATGCTCGTTGCAATATCTTTAAAATATTGTATATCGGAGGCCAGTTTCATGCTCAGTAACACGCGATATATCGCACAAACGTAGTTGGAATGCTATCTCTATGCTAGACATGATATTATTGTGGACATTTTGAAATACTGCCACTGCATCTTAGTCAAACAAATTATAGTTTCACCAGAGATTTTTCAGATACACAGAGCAGCTCTACAATTGCTACCTTCACAGAAATCCCTAATATATATCCAACCACATACTGATACTTATTCATCAAAGTTATGTACAGTTGAATTGTAAATTGAGTACATGCAAATTTCAGTTTTGTTAGTCATCAGTCTAATCTTTGGTATATCTGTACAATTAAACTCACGTCTAGCAGGAGTGTGTTTAACCATTTGAACAATTTAACAACCTAAAAATGTTTTATTTGTGGTTCACTAATCAAAACCATTATCAATATCATCTATAATACTAATAATAGAAAATAACTATTTCTTATAATTTGCGCAATTTATTATACATTATATACCACTAACACTGGTCTTAAAACACAGCTGCTGCAGAAGCTGTGTTTATTTCACATTTTATATACAGGTAGGTATACACATTGTATTTTTTTTCTTAATAGAATATCATGATGATATTGTAAACTGTGATAAAAAGTCAGGTAATTATTGTTTTGGCACATGCCTGCTTCATCTTCATGTGCTTCCAACAATGTGTGAAAAGCTAAAATAAGGTGATGTTCCCGATGGGTTAGTTTCCTAGTTACCTAAGCATTCCTGGTAGCGTTTCTGTGGCTGACCTTGTTGCTTTTTCCTTTTGGAAGTTCATGGGCCATTATTATCTCTGAGGTTAATTACAGCCTCTGGCATTGCAAGATTGAGAGATGTTTACTTCCCTTAAAATGTCTGAAATTGATTTAATATCATATGTATGTAGGTTTCGATGCTTCCAGGTTAATGTCTACAAATAATTTGCACTTATTTGTTTGATTGGTTTATGTTCCTAGCCTGAAACGAGCTTACAGTATCTTGTTGAATGCAGGTGTTGATGTGTCCTGAACATGAGATGGAGAAAGTCAACATGTACTGTGAAGTGTGCCGTCGGCCAGTGTGTCACCTCTGCAAACTCGGCGGCTCTCATGCTAACCATAAAGTCACATCCATGAGCAGTGCCTACAAGATCCTCAAGGTACTCTGGCTCCAAGCTAACTGTAACGTAAACAATGACTTTCTGGTGCTTTCTCAACTCTGGCACTTTTCCAAACATGTCATGACCCATCGTATCTCTTTGTGAAGGTTTACAGTTTCCATTTTTCAACCTGCTAATAAAATATTGAGCGATGTACTTGGCCTACTTAGCAAATAATCAGGGGATCATGTTGCTTGTGAATAGATGGAAATGGGGCAACTCTGCATGCATGTATTTCTGTCAGCAAAGACCTCTTCTCCAGTTTTGGGCAGAGGTCAGTTCATGAAGATTGCGAAGAACCTTAGGCCTATATTGCCCTTAGTGTGAACTGCATAACTTTAGAATGCTAGTACATGAGAACCAGAGCCAGAGCCATGCATTTTTAATGTGATCAATTGAATGAATGCTTATCATTCACTCGTCTCTCTCAGCAGTATTGGGTGTTCAGAACTGCCCGGAAATCTCAAGGGTAGTTCAGTTTTCCATCAAGCATTCTTGTAGCCTAATGGACTTTATTTTTCTGTCATCAGGAGAAGCTGTCAAAGAGTATCCATTACCTAATTAGTAAAGAGGACCAAGTGAGGACTCAGATTTCCGAGCTTGAGGTCTTGATTCGTCAGACTGAGGTAAACAGTTTGTGCTTACTTTTGCTTTCTGCTGCTTAGTTTGGCTATTTTTCAGGGAAAAAAAACAAGCAAACAAGCAATTATGTTCAGTATTCCTCAGTCAGTGATGCTGGGAGGGTATCATGGTCCAGAGGTGGGTAATATGAGCATATGTATTGTTATTGTGATAATTTAACATATTAAAGCACAATATGCTTGTCTGAGCATATAGTAGATATCAGCATCACTTAAAGAAGACTGACTAACCACATTTTATTATAAATAAAGCATAACAGTGCAGTATGTGAAACGCTGACTAAAACTGCTTCTAGTAACGTTTTGATATTGTTTTTTGAAATGTTTGGGCTGTTCCAACTTCAGAAAAACTTAAGTATATTGTGATGTATATTGTGGATCATGATGGTATTATATTGCTGCCATATCACCCACCCTTGGTAGGTATTTCTTTGCCAAATATAATTTATGAGCTTATTTATGCACATGTTTATATCCTGCTGGACAATGGTCTGTGGTATATTACTGTATTGATTCCTGTCTGTACAAAATATTTTGTGTGATTTATTCTTTCCCTCTGGCACTTTCACCTAATGAGATTTTGTAATGTTGATTAACTCTGTCAAGGGTTTAGAAAAACAGTATGAAGGGTGTGGATTACTGAAGCTTTTTCACCCTGAAACTTGCTGTGAAAATCAGTACACACAATAAGCCTTTAATTGACTTGTTTATGGTTTTTACCACTTGGTTGTCATAGTTTATTCATTGTTTTTCGTTAGCTGATGTTGAGAAATGCATAAAGTTACTTTTCTGAATAGAATATTACATAGCGGTTTAAGCAATTACTATTCTGACCTTCGTTGATGTAGGAAAATGGACAGCTTGCAGAGAGACGGGCCAATGAACATTTTGAGCGTCTTTTTGAGACTCTCCAAGAAAAGAAGACTGAAATGTTGCGGTCCATCGAGCAGTCCAGGAACTGCCGCCTAGACAAGTTCAAGAGCCAGGTGGAGGAGTACCAGGGCATGCTGGAGAACAGTGGTTTAGTGGGTTATGCCCAGGAAGTCCTGAAAGAGACTGACCAGTCCTGCTTCGTTCAGACGGCTAAGCAGCTACATGTCAGGTTTGATGATGGTTTGATGTTTTTCTTTTACTGACAAACCCCTGTCCCTCAATCAGTTGAGTCAGTCATTGTGTTTACTTTGGACCACTCTGCAGACCTAATGAGGATAAAAAGCTGCTGTTCTTGTGCTGACAGAAGCTGCTTAGCAGGGGAAAGTAGTGTATCTTAAGGTCTTCGACACTGGAAACTGGCGATGTGCCTGTAAGCAAAGAGCTTTGCAGACTGACCCGCATGGGTGGATTTGAACCACGCAGGCTCCTGAAACTTTGTGTTCCTCAATTTAATCCTTATAATTGATCTCCATTAGCCAAAAAGCAGCTTTGGGTATACACTAAATCACTTTCCTATAAACTCTATTGTCACAAACTGTAATAGAAGGCTGATGATTATTCGATTAAAACTGAATTTTTTTTTTTTTATAAAAAAAAGTAATAAATTAAAATGGACGTTTTCAGTAAATCAGCAGTGATAACCTCACAATTTGCAAGATGATAAAGCATAGTTTAAATTCTCCTCCTGGGCTTGTTTATAGTAAGAAACAGAGCCAGCTTTCTACTGTATCTTTTTCGAATAAGGTACTTTTGAATCTTGGAAAGGCTGTATATGATTTGATATTGTTAACTCTGATTTACTCAATTAATTGTCAGAATAATCGGTTGATTACTGATATAATGAGTGGTGACAGCCCTAGTAAAGTAGTCCAAACAAGAACAGCTGTCATCAGGTCTGTCTTATCCATTGTGAATCACTTCATTGTCTTTTTGGGTACAGGGTTCAGAAAGCCACAGAATCGCTGAAGACCTTTCAGCCTGCAGCCAGCCCCTCATTTGATGAATTCTTTCTGGATACATCAAAGGAAGAGTCATTGCTAAAAGAGCTTTCCTTTGGTGGAGGTAAGATTGTGCCAGAGTCCTCACCAGACACTTTCACTCATTTCTTTGTGGGAGGTTGCTGTTGGTGTGGCTGCCACCAGAAGCTCTTTAATTGAATAAGCTGTTTAGAGGCTTATTATATCCTTGGATTTGGGCACTGAAAGTATTGGGAGCTTTTAGCCCAATCCCTTGCATAATGATTAGCATTCTAGTGAAAAATGTGATATAGTGTCCTGGGGAAAGACTATGGAGAGTTCTGTCTTTTTTAATATTCTTCATAGTTACTTCATTAGAAGACTTGCTGGGGAACATGTTTCAAAAATAATTTGAACTAGAAAGTAATAGAAAACTCAAACAACCTCCAGGTATTTAACGCGGTGATGTTGGATGAATGGCCTTTTTTGTCTCGTCCCCTGAAACGTTATAACTGGAAGTGACTCTGGCCTTTCCGTTGAACTGTGTGCTGATCTCTATTCATTAGGGACAGCACCAGCACGCTGTCCTTGAAGACTGGGGTCAGTCCTGTTGAGCACCGGCTCTCTGGGCATTAGAACTGAAAGAGGGAAAATAAGCTAAATAACTGAAATGAGCTATTCACCAAACATGAAAGACTGTAGAGTATATACTAGTGGAAAGTATCTAATAGCAATTCCTGTCCAATATTGCGCTTTAAATGCAGTCATTTTCTATTCTTTCTTAAGCAAGAAGACTAGCACATCCGTTTTCTTTTTTTTATGGTTTTTTTTTGGCTTGAGCACTGAATGTAGTTTGCCATACTGCCGGTTCACAAGCTCTGCCTGATTAGATTAAATTTCTCCAATTAACACTTGCTAAAACCTCGCTCTGATGGGATTAAATTTACATGGGGTCCTGGGGCAATTTCCTCTTTTACAGGTGCTCCTTAGTGATTTTACTGCTGTCCAGATTGGCCATGTCTGTGTTTTTCCTCCCTCAAGCCCTGACAAAATTACAGGCTGAATTACCTACTGTTTTTCACCATACTAATTTAGTCCCATCTGGATGCACATCTCCATGTTTTTCCAGGCAGATGTTGACTAGTGTTGGGTGAAAAAAAATAAAAGATTTTTGACCACTGCAATTCGCCACATTAGGTCTCTTAGCACGTAACAAAGATCCTCCCCCAGATATTAAAGCTCATTAAAGGGGCTTGTGATTATAATGGCAAATACAGGTGTAAGCATTACTACATATTACTTCATACTTCACAAATAAACAATATCACTCTTTTAAAAATAATGACTAGTTGTATCACTGTCAGATCTAATGTTAAATTCTCATAAAATAAAATACAACCCTGTAGAAACTCGCTCATCCTTTGGTAATTTGATTGCCATCTGGATGCAAGAGTTTCATTGTGGAAACATTTTTTACATTTTTATAGACATCTTTTTTTATTTACTTTGTTAATTTTTTCAACTGTGGTCCTTTTAAAGCTCCACTTAATAAGAGGGAGATTGTTAGAATCACTTGCTCATGTTTACATTTACATTTACAGCATTTAGCAGATGCTCTTATCCAGAGCGACTTACAATTTGATCATTTTACACAGGTAGGCGAAGGTAGTGTTAGGAGTCTTGCCCAAGGACTCTTATTGGTGTAGTGTAGGGTGCTTACCCAGGCGGGGATTGAACCCCAGTCCACAGCGTAGAAAGCAGAGGTGTTACCCACTACACTACACCAACATGTTGTTTAGTTATCTGTAATTCCAAATCCTGGTCCTGGTGTTCATTGCCCCATATATTTTATTTTTGTCCTGCTACCATAATGATTTACAACCCAGGAAGGGCTTTTAAATTAGCTGATTAATTGGATCAGATGTGTATAGCACAGAAAACACCAAAATATGCAGGGCAGGAGTAACACAGGTCAAGGATTTAGGAACCACTGACCTACATTTAAAACTGATTGCGGAAATCATAACATTTAGCTTAGTAATATTCATAAAAAGGCTTTTGTGCTTGGACTCTGCACATGGCCGATCCGTGATCTTCAGAATTTTCAAGAATTTTTGCCTTTCTAAATATGAACTGTGATGAAATAATTGTAAGTGAGACACAAAAATTGTCTGCACATCAGACCTTATTAAGATGGTAAGAACTTTCCAGTGAGTCAGCTTGTGTTTGCTAATGCTTCTAATGGCTATAGATGGACAGAGTGCACTCGGTATATGGAGCAGTGCAGGCTGTAATTGATTGAAGGAAAAAGCAGACAAGGCACAAAGTAGCCATCCCTTCCATCTCAACACTGCATCACTGATTAGAATGGCCTTCCATAGTGCTGATGAAGGCTTTAAATGCTTCCAGGTTAGGACACTTTCTTAGCTTCCAGCTCTTTAAATCTGTTTGTATTTTTTGCCATATTTTTTGGTGCTGTAATCTCATGGCAAGAGAAGAGGACAAGGCTCCTTCCCTGTTGTGTGGCTTAATGCATCCCCTGTTCTGATCAATAGCTTATTATTCAGGAAGAAGCCTTTCAGGCTGTGTGCCTGAAGGCTTGGCAGGCTTTCTGTCCGTGACAGGCTGTGTATCCACGGTGACAGCCCCCATTGGTTAAAACACTTGAGAATCAGGATGTAGGACCCAGTTTAAGCCCAAGATAAGGCAATAAGTTTGCCAAAGAATAAAATGTACACAAAAACTATGTACTTGACAAGCCAAGAAATTTGTTTTTTGCATTAAGGCTGCATGCCTAAATCACACATTTGCCATCAAATCATTTTAAATGTTAAGTAATGATAAATAGACTTGCTTATGTGGTTTCTGACTTTTTCTGAAATTACTGAAATATGATAGCTTTAAAAACAATCTGACTTCAGTGTGGCCGCAACTGCTGTTTTAAGGATACAACATAGTTTTGCCATCTCCTACATTATTATTGTATTTTATTTATTCCTGAGGCCCACTTATGGGGTTTGTGTGGTTTTATTTTCCAAAAGTAGTCAAAATATATTGTTGCATGGCCATATTTCAACCTCTCTTTATGTCTTAGAATTAAACAGGCTGTTTTTGTTACTGTGCCTTTAAGACTGAGCAGTCTGGGCTGAAACTCCTCACAGCTTCTGCTGGAATAGGCAGGGCTAAACTTCTGTTGCCTGAATAGGTGGACATATGTAAACATGTTGTTTTTTGTGACATCACAACAGCAGTAAATATAAAATGGACTGTTTTTGTAGCTTGGTTTCCTTATATGGACTGTATGGCCTGAGGTAAACGGTGTAACTTTAGCAATGCATTTTTTTTTGATATTGTAACAACTGTGCCTTTTTGGAGGCAAGTGTGTAATGACTTACTGGATGGTCTTGTTTCAGTAAAAGCAAGGACTCATGACTAACACACATCACTCTCAAATTGTGGGTCGATGCCAATATTCAATATCTTTCAGGTCTGCTGATACAATGACATTTATAACATGGTTACAAATGCATTGCCCACTGTTGCTTAAAAACATTCTGTTGTTTCAGAGTACAATAAATATGTCATAAAATCAGTTTGAAATATCAGTCAAGTTTAAACATCTGATACTTTTTTTATTACTTGTGCACTTATCTATGGATATGATTCCAATATTATTGTGTCCCTATACACAATATAATATTTTTCCCTGTCTTGGGACTACTTTTTCATCAGAAAATGCCATGTTTTTGCATTTAAGTTTGATTTTAGTTTGTGAATTCAGCTTGCATCATTGTTAAATCAGGAGCTAGAGTTTTTTTTATGTATATTAAAAAGGTAGCTCTGTACTGCATCTGCTTGTCATTCTTAAGCTTTTGAACTCTTTCCTCCTCAGTTCCTGATCCTCCTATGATTGACCTGTCTCAGAGTCGTGTGTATAATGAGGGCCTGATCCACTGGAGGCTCCCTGAAGACTCTCTGCCCACAGATCACCACATTCTCGAGTACAGGAAGGTGGCTAAGGAAGATGAGGAAGAGAGCCAGTGGCAGATGAGTGACCGTATATATGGCTCCAGCACAGTGGTGTGTGATCTAGACAGTGACTGCCACTATGCCTTCAGAGTGCGGAGCTGCCGTAACACCATTTACAGCCCTTACAGCCCCGAGGTGTCTTTCCATACTCCCCCTGCTCCAGGTAAACAATTGGTCAGTCGAGAATGTCGTAGTTAATGGTTTAATACCATTGCAGCATTGATAGCAAACCAGAAATAAATAGAGGTCGATTTGTAAGTGAACCGAGTTTTGATTACATAAGAATTTATTTTTGTATGCGTATCTAAACTACTCATAGTAATCTTCACTTCTAAGACTGTCACATATGGCTAGCATTTAGATGTATACAATAAAAATAAAATAAAAATAAATAAATAAACTCAGCTTAACTTATCTCTGGCCTGTGTGCAACAGAACAAATCATTTTGAGGAATGTGCTGGCTCTTCATTAGTCCTGCACGATATCGACAGAATGCTAGTACTCTGGTGACATTTTAGCGTATTATGATAAACAAATTAAAAATGTATTTGCAAATCAATATTTTGAAATGGACAAAGACTGGCCTGCATCATTTAGACTAAAATATCTTTTGTTGAATTACCTTGATTCATCAAAACACCCACAGAAGCACCTATCTAGAATTGTGATTGGTCATGTTGCTTAGAGCACACAGCAAAAACACTGTGATTGGTTAGAGGGCTCATTTGAATATTTTAGCCTTTCTCGTTGTCATTGTCGAAAAGGCCAATATCATGGTAACGATTAACAAACTGTATATTGTTTAGCCATACTCTATTCTTAATAATAATAATAATAATAATAATACTAACAATAACAAAATAACAAAAAAGTGTAGATTGAAATACTGTAAGCTAAATGTTTTCTGTGAACATTACAAGTTATTAAATGATAATATACTGCAATTATCTATTTATATTTATGATATTGTTTTGATAAGACATCTAACTTCACAAATATTATTATGACTTCATTCTTAATGCTATTCAGTTTTCTCAGTCATTTTGGAATCATCCACAGCTCTGTTTATTATTCTGTACACAGTCCAAATTTCTTAATTAACTATAAAGTTGTAGAGAAGTGTTATAATAAACTAATTTTGTACATGTATCTTCAACACATTTGTTTAATTCAATTAAAAACAGTGATTTCAAACTTTGGGTCAACCACCAAAAATCTAGACTCCCTCAATTTGTATATTTTATATCTCTTCATAAATAAAGGATAGCTCTAATATGTTGACTACTGACTGAACATATAGTATGCGGCAGTTGTACTGCTGAGCCACTGCATGACAAACCTCCTGGGATTTTTATTATAAGCTTATTTGTCTCTTTTTGGGTCTGTCTGTGTATTTAGCGCACAGATTCTGAGGAGATTATCAAATAGACACATGGCCCTTTGATGAAAGCTTGTGTTGATGCATCAGAGTACCGTTTGTAAAGGCTTCATGTCATTTTTTCCAGTTTATCACCACGACAGATCTCATTAGCTTTACCTCAGATTGAGTCTGCCAGTGTTTGTTTGCTTAGACCAGCAGAGCATGTTGCAGGCTTGGCTGCAGTCTTTTAGCTTTCGCTTCTGTCATTATGTTAATGAAGGCCAGATTTAAACGATTTTAAGCTGCTGTCAAAACCCGGCAACATCCGAGCCTATGCGTCTTTCCCGCTCCTCAATTAATGTCAGCATGACTGACAGTGTTTTCCATTCATTTGTGCTAATCCATCAGAACTGTGCGTATTGTTTTTCTGTTTTTGTTCTGCCTCGTCGTGCTCTTTTAGCATGGAGCTGGAGGAAGGCCCAGTCTAAATGAACTCTGATTCAGTCTAGCATTCCTGTGTTCTGTGGGACGTGTAGCTGCGAATGCACTGTGTGTTATTAACGAGGTGGAATTCTGGGTCACTGCAACGCAGGGGAAATATCTGCTATCTTGTCTCCAGCGTCTGCTCCTTGCCTCAATACTGATGCTTTGATCCCATGTAAAAATAGCAATTGGGGAAAAAGCAGAAATAAGACAACTGTAAAAACTGGAGGAAAAAAAAGAATGATTGTGATCACTTTAGACTAATACAGATTAGCATTATAAAATCGGCCCAGTCTATGAATCGTGTTTTTACAGTCTTATTGCAGCACTGAGAAGATAATAAAATGTAGCTTATTTCATTTACGACCCAGATAATAAAAAAGTAGCTTATTTAATCCAAGTCGATGCGGTGGCTCTAGAGATACTATAGCTCTTTATTGATATTTCCTTAGGGCAGTGACTAGTCTGACTAAATATGGATGAAATCGTCACTGCTTTTCTGGCAGCATCTCAAGGAAAAGAAGGCCATCTTTTTGTCATCAGCTTGTTTTTCATGTGTGTATGGTATCAGAACAGTGTACTATAAATAAATTACTTTTTATTTTTGTTAGGCGGAGCAAATATTAGACAACTTCTGAAATGACAAATCACACAAGATACAGACATCTACAATACTGTGCAAAAGTCAGAGACCACCCTTCATTTATTTAATGTTCTGTAAAAATATTATTATTTAAGAACAACATTGCAGCTTCCATTCTTTTCAAAAGATTTGTTTTCAGTTTTTAAAAGAAATCAAAGAAATCCAAAGTTGGATGCATTTTCTTCTTCTCGTGATCAAATTAATGCCAAAAACGTTCACTGACGGTTGTTTTCTTTTTACTCTATTTTCTTTTCTCAGTAACAGCTTCTTTACAGATACACATTAATTTAAACCCATAGGATTGAGTTAAATAAATGAATGGTCTGTCTGACTCTTACACAGTACTATAGAAGTCAGTTCTGACAAATGGTGTGTAAAGTGACAGTCAACAATACCCAAGCCTAAAGCATCTACTTTCTCACAATACTTAAATATAACCATTTCTTGGTTCTTTTTCAGTGTTTGGCTTCCTGTTTAATGAGAAGTGTGGATTCAGCGTAGAGCGGCTGCAGTTGAGCAAGAGGAGAGACTCTGTGGAGAGTGTGGCTGGCATGCCCTTCCTGCTGGCTGCTGATCGTGTCCAGACAGGAAGTTACATATGTCTTGACTACATTGTTGGCGACACTGGCATCTCGCATGGCCGCCACTACTGGGCTTTCCGCGTGGATCCAGGCTCTTACATGGTGAAAGTGGGCGTGGCGTCAGACTCTAAGCTGATTGAGTGGTTCCATAACCCCCGTGACACCAGCAGCCCGAGGTAAGAGCAACACAATGTACACCTGATCTTACACACTCTTCTGCAGTTAGGCTGGATGAAATGCCCCTCTCTCGGACCATAGCACATTCAACACTTTTTTTCTCCAGCTTGTGTAAAGTTTAGTACTAACCCTATTGACTTCAGCAAACCTTGATTAGCTGGATATGGTCTGTTGTAAATGTGTAACATTTTCAGTAAAAAATCAAATATAGCTTCTCAGTCTCTTCTGTATCTCTGATTTATCATGTTTTGTGGAAAACACTGTTAACGATCAAAACTAGGCATCTTGTTGCATCCTATCAGAGTGATTGACACTGAAAAATTTAGAGAACCTTTGCTTATCTGAACCAAACTTATGTGTATTATAAATAGAGATTGGTACAATCATTTTTAACATTTTTAACACAAAAATCAACTTTTACAACTTTATAACTGAAAATTGTATAGAACCAGAAATTACATGCATAGTTATGCCCCTAGTGCACATGTAAGCTGTGTGCATGGCGCAAACATAAATATATTTATACATTAGCATATGAACACAATGTGCGTATTAAAGCACCTTTTTTCCTGTATTGCAAAATATATTGTTGCAAGAGACCACCATGTTGTATCTAATTGAATCTTGACACCCCTAGTGTGTTGTATTAGGGTTTGAACTGAACTCAGTTCCAGGAGAGAGATTTACAGGAGGATATTTGATGATCACTGCTTACAGTTACTTCTTCATAGAATTGCTTTGTCTCCCAATAGTGTTATCTTGGCATTTCATAGAAACATTTAAGGCCTTCCAAATCATTTCCCATTCTGAGTCTTTACTACTGAATATCTTGCCGATACAGAAATACAGTGCACACATTTAGTTAAACCCATCCAATTTAGGTAAGATGCTAGGTCTCTATTTACCTATGCTAAATGTTACTTTAAAATCACTTCATTTTTACTTCATGCTCATAGTTTGATGCACTCTAAATTGAAACTCAGCTGTCTTGAATATGCTGCTTTTGTATTTCAAGTTGTTCTCACTTCAGTGAACTGTGCTTTTTCCCCTGCTTTCTATGCATTGTTCAGTGTAATAGCCACACGCTCAAATTTGATTTTTATCCAGTGTAACTGTGCTTTGACAAAAGGCTGGTATCTTAACCATAGTTGAAACAATGGCATTGCAAATATTGTGGCTGCTGGCCCGTTTCCACTTTAAAATAGTTTCACACTGCAGCCATTTAGACAGTTTATTTACTGCTGAAAACATGCCTAGCTGGCTACAGTTATGGATAATGGTGATTTATGTCACACTCATGTAGGGCTGAATGATAATGGGAAAACATCTTATGGTGTGTTTATTTATTTATTTATTTATTTATTCATTTAACCTGATGCTTGAATGTTGATTGTAGTGTGCCAGACTGCCAGATCTGCATTATTATGGTTAAACTTCTTCACTGAAAGTTTGTTTAACAAAGCAGAATATAATTAAAATTGCAGTTCTTGCGATGTGCAGCTCTTTCAAATAGTGCTTTTGATATAACAATTAATCGTTCAGCTCTACTTCCACATCAGCAAATGGACCATTATGGAATAAAATAGCCCTAAGAGAAGATAAGTCTTTGATTGGGCTAAATATAGGGACTTACTGACAGGGTAATCTCACTCAGGATGTTATCTGTTCAAGTTGTGCACATCTGATTAGTTTGCTCATGCTTACCCATACATTCTTTACAGGTACGACCATGATAGTGGGCATGACAGTGGCAGTGAGGACACCTGCTATGACCTCTCGCAGCCCTTCACTCTGGTCACCATGGGCATGGGCAAGCTTTTTATCCCCAAAGCTTCCATCACCGCCTCGGCGGGCGATCACGGCAACCGCATGCTACCCTTGCCTCAGCGTATCGGAGTGTGCCTCGACTACGATGCTGGCCGGGTGTTCTTCTACGATGCCGACACCATGCGCTGCCTGTACGAGAGGCAGGTGGACTGCTCAGGCACCATGTACCCTGCTTTTGGCCTCATGGGCGGAGGAGCTGTCCACCTGGAGGAATTCATCACAGCCAAGCGGCTGTCCTACATGTGAAATCTCGCTGTTGGCATCCAAGTCTGCCCACCATCTGCCCTCGTGCTGATCTGTCTCTATCCGCTTCTGCTGGCTTATTTGTCCCTGGCTTCCAATAGGTCACGAAATGTAGCTTTTGTGTGCAAAACACCTGTTTCGTATCCAGCCAAGAGTAACCTGACAAACCTTGCTTCAGTGCCTTTGTGCCTTTTATGAGATCAACTAAGCAGGTGCTTAATTCTAATGTTATCGTTATAACACATCAGGTTTTGATCAGCACTCGTATGGCAATGCAGAATATCACGATACACCTTAATACGATGCAGAACCTCACTGTTTTTGCTCTTGTGAAAACGATTGTCTGAACAAATATAATGCGGTATGAATTGTACATGTTGCACATGATTAACTTATTTGGCACTACCTTATACCTGTGCACTAACAATAACCGGTTTTGTTAACTGTTCTGATTGTAGTAACACTTGCAACACTATTACCTGGGCTGACTTTTTCTCTTACTAAGACTGTTGAGAATGATCTGCTGAATAAACTATTTGCAATGAAATCTAATCCAATCAAAACAGTTTGTCTTAAAAAGTTGTCATGTAAGTATTTACTTGTGTTGGGTTGTTACACAAATAGATAAATAGACCTCATACTACTACGATTGGGATGTTATTGAACTCAGCATTAAATAGCTTTTGCATTAAGAATGTAACTTTTTTTTTATTGCAGAGTAGCATTTGAATCACACCTGTGCTGCTAGGTCTTTAACTTGGGCACAATTCCAATCAGAGCTACCTTAACACTGATTGAAAATGTGATGGGGGTTATTATGCACTATCGTCGCCAATACGAACATGGCAGAATTAACTGGAAAAAATGGCCTTAGTGAATGACCAGACAAGGTTACTGGCTACAAAGGGACTTGGTTGTTTTCTTGCGTGGAGTAGTGGTAGATGTAGTGGGGTTGCTGTGTGATTCCTCAGGTACTCGCCCTATGGGCTTTTTGCTACCTACCTCTTCTGTGACCTTTAATATTTCATATGATTTCAACCACTGCTCTTATTCTTTGATTCTTTTGAGGAGGTGGCAGAGTCTGTGCCTGTTTTTTTTTAAATGTGATCACTGAAGCTCCAAGGGTTTCTTCTTTTTTGTTAAAGCTGGAAACCTAAGAGTTCTCAAATCAAAAGTCTTTTTATTCCTTTATTTTAATTTTAGATTTTGAGTTTCACGGGGACACTGATGCATTCTTTGATTTCATTGCAATCTTTACATTTATAAAAAGATTTCATTATTTTCAGTTAGTCTGTTTTTCATTTTATTGTAGCATAAGAAAAAATGACTTTTTGAAGATTATTGCACAAAAGTGAGTCGTCTTTTTTTTCTGAATCTCTTCACCCTCTAAATTAAATAGACTTTAAGTGTTGTGTCCTCAGAATTAAATTCACTTGTGGTAATTCAAAGAATCATGTAACCATTTTTCAGTGGTGATGTTGGAATGGAAATGGTGAATCCATGGTATGCTCTTCCATTTGTTTTTCTTTTGTAGACATTAATTGTTCACTAATTTTCACATTTTCTTTGACAGTACACAGTTTTGTTTTTCTTTTTTTCGTTAGATTCAAGAATGAGTCTATGCACATTAGTTTACAGTTTCTGGGTGGTGTTTTTGCTATGCTACGTTAGTGTCACGGTGTGTAATGGCTTGGGATCCACATAACCAAATGTTTTGTTAGTTCCTTGTACATGTTAAACTATTGGGTCTTTGGGGGAAAAGAAATATATATGTTTTTTTTCTGGTTGCTTTCAGTGTAGTCTTAATGGTAGAGTATTGAGGTAAGGTGAGTTGTACTGGCTTATCAAACAGGACACTATTGTCTTTTTAGTGGACATTTTAACTGATTTTTCAAGCTAGCACTTTATAGCATGTTAGCCACTTGGCTTGGTGCAGGTGTACGTAAATTGGTGTGCAATATAATTTCGCCCTTGGGACGTACTGTACTCTTTGATGGATTGGGGTGTGATGTTTGCTCTTTGTGATTGTAATGCTTTAATGGAAATGAAAAGCTGTCTGTCACCTGTATCTGTACTGTTATTTTTTAATTTACCATGTGGGGTTTTGATATAAAATAAAGGTGTTTAAAATTGCCTCAAATTCAGTTTAAGATTTGTATTTTTCCAACCTCTAAATATTATATTAAAAAGGTACATAATACGGATGTATATGGGTTACATAGAGTAGCTATTTACTGAGGGCACAAACACTACGGTTCTAGATTTTGTTCTTTCTTCTTCTCCCTTGTAGTAGTAGTAGTAATAAACCAAAATCCATAAAAATGCTAAACTATTAAAAAAGGCCAAGAGTAAGTCTCTGCACATCTCCTACGTTCTGCACTTACTCCCTGTATTAAAGCTGAATGCCGTTTTGTTGTGTCTTCGATAACCACAATTATATGATTGGCTGTCTCAGTCATTCTAATTAGGCCGCAGGCACTCTTCAGAAATGTGAGGAAACAGGGACGCCCTGTGGCTATCAGCAGTATTACAGCCTCAGAGAGCAATCACAGTAGGCTGCACCGCAGAATATTAGGATAAGATTATGCAGAATGAATTGCTGATGGCTCATGTTCACATTTGCAATACAGGGCACATTTTGGTCACATCAACTTAATACTTTAACAGCCTAAACAGTGTAGCTCTATACATAAACCTAAAAACATTGCTCATTTATTATTATTATTACTATTATTATTATTATTATTATTATGTAACATTAAATAACATTATTTCTTTCAGTTATTAACTGGTAGAGGCAGTGAGGAACCAACCTTTTTTGCATAAATAGATTTATTATATCAATCGGTGGTGTTTTATCTAAAAGCAATGTTAAATAGCCTTTTCTCAACTTTGGAATTTAAGATTTGTACTTTTCCAACCTCTAAAAATTATGTTAAAAAGAACATAACATGCACGCTGTTTATATGGTGGCTATTGATACTAAAGGCACAAACACTACAGTTCTAGATCTGTTTGTTATTTAGTTATCCGTTAGCAGTAATGACAGCATCAGTAAAACTGCTGCTGCTAGTCATAGCAATAGTAGTACAACCCTGTTTTCAAAAAAGTTGAGAGGCTGTGCAAAATATAAGTAAAATACAATGCAATGATGTGCAAATTATATAAACCCTAGATTTAATTGAAAATAGCACAAAAACAACATATCAAATGCTGAAACTGAGGAATTCTTTGAAAAATATATGCCTATTTTGAATTTGACGCAAGCAACACGTTTTGAAAAAGTTGGGACAGGGTCATGTTTACCACTGTGTTGCATCATCTCTTCTTTTAAAAACACTATAAATGTCTGAGAACTGCTGTAGTTTTCAAATTTAAAATGTTTTTCCATTTTTGTTGATGCAGGATACAGGATTTCAGCTGTGACAGGTCTGGACTGCATGCAGGCCAGTTTGGCACCAAGACTCTTTTACTACGAAGCCATGCTGTGGTTTGGCATTGTCTTGCTGAAATAAGCAAGGCCTTCTGGATGGCAGCATATGTCGCATTAATTGTGCCTTTACAGATGTGCAGGTCACCCATTCCATGTGCACTAATGCACCCCATACCCTAACAGATGCTGGCTTTTGAACTGTGCACTGATAAAAAGACATATGATCCCTGTCCTCTTTAGCCCGGAGGATGCAGTGTCCATGATTTCCAAAAAGAATTTCAAATTTTGATTAGTCAGACCACAGGACACTTTTCCACTTCACTTCAGTCCATCTTAAATAAACTCAGGCCCAGAGGAGGCGGTGGCAACGTTTTTGGATCCTGTTCATATATGCTTCCTTCTTTGCGTAGTAGAGGTTTAACTTGCATTTGTGGATGCAGAGATGAACTGTGTTCACAGACACTGGTTTTTGGAAGTGCTCCTGAGCCCATGCAGTGATTTTCACTACAGAATCATGTCTGTTTTTAATGCAGTGCCGCCTGAGGGCCCGAAGACCACGGCCAGCCGATATTGATTTTCGGCCTTGTTCCTTGCATACAGAGATTTCTCCAGATTCTCTGAGTCTTTTAATGATATTATGTACCATACATGATAAAATCCCCAAGTTCTTTGCTATTTTACGTTGAGAAATGCTATTTTTGAATTCTTGCACTATTAGCCTGCGCAGTCTTTCACAGAGTGGTGAACCCCTCCCCATCTTAACTTCTGAAAGACACCCAATCATGTTACTGACCTGTTGCCAATTAACCACCAGGTGGTTTTTAACATTACACAACTTAACCAGTCCTTTGTTGCCCCATTCCAACTTTTTTTAAATGTGTTGCGGGCATCAAATTCAAAATGGGCATCTGTTTTTCAAAAACAATAAAATTTCTCTGTTTCAACATTTGATACATGGTCACATTGAAAGAGAAAAGCCCCTTTTGTTGAGTTACTCTTAATAAACTACATCACACAGACTGTCATAAACCACACACTATTTAATATCTCACAACAATGAGATTCTATCTCAAAATTATGACTTAGTATCTTAATAATTATTTACTACAAAGTAAGTCATAATTATAAGATGCTATGGCAATTATGAGATACCAAGTCATAGTTATGAGATGTTAAGTCATAATTATGAGATTGAAACTCATTACTATTAGACTATTAGATACCAAGTCATAGTTATGAGGTACTAAGTAACGTTCCCTGTATCATGACTTACTTAAGTATATATATATATATATGGGAATATCACACAGTAGGAAGAAGTGGAGATGCACAGATACACGTTGTCCGAGCTTTACATCGTTCTCTGTTTCAACCCGTACGGAAATGACATGTGTACCTCACATTTAAGAAGTACATTTCACATATATTGTTTCATTCATTCATAAAATGCATATCAAACACTAAAATACTTGTTTTGGCCATTTTCATACATTTTATAAACACATTTTTCATATTTATTTTCCGGATGGGAATGTTTGGAGCTTTAAGAGAATTATATAAATATGTTCTGGAAACAACAAAGTTTGTCTTTTCCTCAGAAAATTAGCTCATGTGGATGTGTTATGGTATGATATGTTATTTTTCTGTAAATAATAGAGATTTGGTTAAATAAACTGTCCCATTGTTCAGAGACTCTACCTGGGCTGCGATGGCGGCGCGTGACGACAGTGGCGGTAAGACGGAAGAGCAGAGCGGAGCCTCCACGTCACTCGAGGTGCGCTGGTTCGAGCAGCAGCGGATCACGGAATTTAACGAGTGAGTGAATTTGACAAACCGCCATGCCATAGTAATCCCTCAGCCTCGTAAACAAGTCGAAAGCAAGCGGAATACCAAAAGGTTCCGGGCCGAGGATTCTGCAGGTACCGTTTTTCTCCTCCCGAGTCTCGAGGAGGCTGTTGACCTAGCACGGTTACTGCTAGGTTAGCTAGTCCGGCGTCTCTGTGGTAGCAGGCAGCTCCAGCGTTAGCCTGGGCTGCTACTCCTCACTGACAGAAACGACCGGTGCCTTCTTCTTTTCAGAGACAGCTTTTATTAAATTACAGCCCGCGCTATTCCTGTGAGATAAATTTATAGGTATTTGTTTGTAATTTATTCTCGTTTTTGTGTCCTGCGCTCGTCAAGCTCAATTCTGTGTCGTTAAAAATAATACCAGAGCTGTCTGTCACTCAGAAGCCCTCTTGTTTTGATGCCTCCTCGGTCTGATTAATGAGGCGGTTCTGCTTTGGCAGCATTGTGATGCCAAGTAAGATTTTGTTATGGAAATGGCTCCAATTTTGTGAATGGTATTTGTACAAACGTTGGTTCTGTCAGCCTAATTGGCCTAAGGCATTGAGCTGGAGCTCAGCAGTCTAATTTGGTCCGTGTCTCTACACCTGCCTACCGCACAGAGCAGCGGTTCAAGCTTGCTGTCAGGTGTCTGTCAGATAAACGTACCATGAATAGAAAATCATGTATGAGGGAACCTGACTGTTGCTCTGGTGGTAAGGGTGAAGCAACCCTCAATGACCTTGCATTTACCATCTATTTTCAACAGTGTACATTTTCTGTGCGTGAAATTGACAGTAATGCATGTGTTGTTGACAGTTTGACCATGCGTTCCATTGTTAGGTGTAAACCTGGGTGTATCTCCAACTTTCAGTCTTGTGTAAAAGGGTGTGGGAGTCTTTTATTGTAGTGTAATTACAAACATATTTTTTTAGTGAGAAAGGTGATTCTCCACCAATGAGAATATTGTCCCTTAATCATTATTACGTTTGTAATGAAGTGGCACTCCTTGTGATTTTATTCAATACATAACATACAACAGGCCAGCAATTCTTTGTCTTAGAAAACCAGAGTCCTGATACACCTGATTCAACTCATCAGTTACTTATCTGGTGTAGTTGATATGTTTGAGCAAGGGCAATATCATACTATGCTAGATTCTGCCCAGAGTTGGCCCATGAGGACATTTGATTTTGCCCACCTGAAATTACCTTACCTTTGTTACACACCCGATCTTCACACTCACATCTTCACCCGATGAGAGAACAAATATTCTGTATTTATATATTTCAAAATTATAAAATTCTTATTTTGCATTTAAATTTGTATTTCTTAAGTATTTTAGTAACACTGTATAGTATAATGTAATAAAATACTACTTGCTGTCTTTATTTGTATATTGTTTTGCACAAATATTGCATTTTGCGCCCCCAAGACAAAACGTTTGGCCACCCGTGCTCTAGCCTTTTAGCTAGAGCTGATGAACCCTGACCTAAAGTTTCTTCAGTTGAGTGAACCAAAGTGCCACGTATAGCGGAGTCCTCGTTTTCATGTGAATTGAACATGCACCTGTTTTCTTTTCCTCAGAGTGTCGTCTTTGATGCTGATCCTTGATGGGCGAATCAGGGCCACGCCGCTCCACCCTGGTCTCCAGGTTACCCATCTTCAGGCGGAGCGTGAGCAAGAGGCAAGAATCACTTCCGTCCTCACCGTCCTCTGGAGGTGTGGGCAATGGCGTCCACACCTCTTCCCCCTCCAGCACCAACTCGAGCTCCAGCAGCACGGGCAAGCGCCGCAGCCTGTTCCGGACGCCCTCCATCAGCTTCCACAGCAAGAGGAGCAGCGAGACGCGTATTGACCCCGGCCAGCTCAATCTGGATGACCGCAGCCAAACATCTGAGCTGGGCTTCAATGACGGCTGCAGCTCTAAGACGCGACATTCCTTTGGTTTTGGAGGGCACAAGAAGAGGATCAGCCGCTCCCAGACAGAGGACTTTGAGAAAGCCTCCACCAACCGCAACGTGTTTATCAACTGCATCAGCTCAGGGACTAATGAGGGGGATGATTCAGGTTTCCTGGATGAAACCAGCAGCAAGAGATCCTCCAGGCACAAGAAGCAGCTGCTGCCCAAGTCCTTTTCAGCTCACCATCGATTTTCCAAGAATTCCCACAGTGCAATAGAACAAGGTAAAAACCAGGATGGTGCAGTAGAGCCCCCTAAGACAGGTACCCCTGGGTCCTGGCCTGGAGAAATCGGGGAGAGCTCGCTACAGTCACCCATGATCTCTGAGGACCGCACAACTGCCATCACGCCGTCAGACTTCGTCCATGTCACTGAGGACTCTGTCTCAGAAGTGGACGCGCTGCCTGCACCTAGTCCAGCTGCTCCGAGTCCAGGTGCACCACCTGAAAATTTCAGTCAGGTTGTGTCTACCTCACAGATGTGTTTCAGCCCAGCCGAGCCTGCTCCAGAGAAGCCTGTACTGCCAGATACTAGCCAAGCAGCCAACACGCAGTGCGAGAGCACCACAGTTCACACAACGCCAGCAACACCGAAGACTGTGGAGAATCTCCAGCCTGATCCATCAGAAGCCAGCGAAAGTGAGCCAGCAGCGGGCCTGAGTGAGGAGAGCAGCTCCAACCCAGAGCCCAGAGAGAGGAGGCCTCGAAACACAGTCCTCATCCAACAGCTGGGAAAATCAGCCGGCTTAGCCAAACTGGAGAGCAGGCCAAGCCATCTGAGGAAACCCCACACAGGTATGATTTGAGCCTGTTACAATGTACAGAGGGTATGTACATTTATGTGCATTTATTACATTATTTTATGTAGGCTTTAAAACTTTTTTATCGAAGTCTGTGAAGTATAACTGTTTCCATATTTAAAAATAAAATTTACACAATTTTTTCTCTTACCTCAGAAATAGTTCACAAGTCTACAGCAGCTATGAGGCTAATGTAGGTTAAAATTAGTTGTATGCAAGGTTTAGGCCACTATGTTGCTAACAACATAAGTCAAATAGACTTGCTTGTGTATTTTGACACTGTCTGACATACAGACATAACCTATAAAACTGGACAAAAGTACAAAGAAAATTCAGGCTTCGGGTGGCTGTAGCTACTGTTTTTAGCTATGCAATGTACTTTTGACCATGTCATAGAGTGTCAGGAACCACAAGCAAGTCTATTTGACTTGACCTAAGTTCTAAGGACATTTGGTTTGGGCTGCCCAGAAGTTACCCAAAAATGAGAGAACAGTCATATTTTGTTACTACATATACAATATACCATATATAACTTTATACTGTATGTTTGTACTATGTTTAACGTTTTACATTCTCTTTTTTTTATTTTGTTTTTGAAGTACGTGTGTAACAAAATATAGTGCAATGTTCTCACATTCTTTATTTGTTATTATTATTATTGTTTTGTCTTTGTCTTTGGCCCTCAATCAACCAAACATTACACCTGGGCCCTCCAAGACAAAAAGCAGCCCTGGTTTATGCAGTTAAGGTCAGGTGATCTAAGAGTATGGCATTCACCCAGCCACCCTCATGCCCTTTAGCGTGCATTCATGTCTGATCTTTAAACCAGTTTCTACTGTCAGAACAACTTGCTAAGATCAATGCAACGGTCTCATAAAGTCACACCAACAGGGTCTGATTAATTCTGCTTAATCTGTTGAACATAGTCCAACATAAAACACTAACTTCATTACTGATAACCCGAGGCTACGGTTTGAGTGAACATTTATATTGACTACAAAGAATTGTGCTGTCAGTACAATAAGATAATTAACATGAAAACATTTTGACTGGCATGTTTTTTATTTCATGTTATTGACAGTTAGAAGAAAGACTGCAAATCAAACTTGATTAGGTGATGAAATATGTTCCTTGTATTAGGAGCTCACGACAACAATAAAAATGATGTCAAAATGATGGGGGCAGTGATTCCCTGACTTAGTGTAACAGATTTACAGCTGGTTTAGATGTTTGAAGTCCATTGCCCCAGTTTTAGGAGACTTTGTTTTCTTTTGTTTACTTTCTCAGATTTTTTTTGTCTACAAGAACAAAGGCACAGAGGATTGTTCTTTTGTTGGATATTGCATCAGGTTGGGTTTTACCAACTCCTTTTAGTGTCTCAAAAACAATATTGCTTCGGCTCACTGAAAACATCCATTTAGATGCTGCACTGTTTTGCTGCTTTCTTCCCCTCGTGGCCTACAATTTCCTAACTTTATATCCTACCATTTCAGAGCTTTTGCTCCAGAATGCCTGTGGCTAAGAGGTTTTGTGGAGCCAAAGTATGTTGTTCCCCTGTATTGAATTTCTTTCAGTGGAGATGTTATGTAGGCTCTCACTGTGTCGTTCTCCTCTTTCCTAATGTGTGAACCCTATACACATTGCGGTGGTTCATTTACATTTGTAAGGAGAAAGATGATACTTTAACTTTCTTGTCAAGAGCCAAGAATGTACTTTATGCCTTTATGTACTCTCTTATGAAGGGATGATTCAATTAAATAATTTAATTATCTAGACTTAAAAGCAAAATATATAGGGTACTAAGCTGACTGGTCAATGTTCAGTGTATACCTGGATGTAGTTTCACAATATGCTCAGCCATGGGTGCACATATTAAATTAACAGAAGTAGGAGGTGAGGACAGGCCTACTTTTGGTGTAGGCTTGCCTAACCAGTAATATTAGGCTGTTGTATAATCAACTGAGAAGGTTGCACTGACCCTGCATACATTACTGAAACACATACAAGGTAGACTTAGAGGTAGGAAATAAGAAGATATTTAAACATAGTGATAAATTTCATTATCATGAAAAAACACTGTTAGTGCATAGTCCATTGTGTCTTTGTGTCAAAACATTGTGTCTGTGTATTGTATTTTGTGAAAATTTCTTTAATTATAGTCATACATTTTTTTTGCCATATGGCCCCAGGCACACTGTATGTCCAAAAGTTTGTAGACACCTGCTCAGCCAACATTTCGTCTGATATTAAAGGTATTACTGCAGCAAAGGTGGGAGCTTCTACTCCTCTAAGAAGGCTTTACACTAGATATTGGAACATTGCTTTGAGGAATTGATTGTATTCAGCCACTAGAGCATTAGTGAGGTCAGGTACTGATGTTGGATGATTAGTTCTGGATCACAAACACCACCAACTCATCCCAAAGGTATAAGATGGAGTACCATCACTCCAGAGAATGCATTTTCACTCTGCTGCCCAATGATGTGGGCTTTATACCTCACATTCTAACATTTGACGTCGGGTATGGTGACTTTGGGCTCGTGTGCAGTTGCTCCAAACGATCTTATTGTATTGACAGTGCTTCTCTATGGAGATTGAATGCCTGTGTCAGCAGTGGGGGCACCTGAAAGTAGCTGAGTCCACTAATTAGAAGGGGTGTTAGATACCTTTGGCATATATAGAGTATATTTAGCCTACATTAAAACATTAAAATATTGTATTTTCATTCTGTCAAAATCAGGGCTCTATACAAGAATATATATTTCTTCTTGTATTGTAAGTGGCCTTATTTTGTGATTTTGATATATGATAGCTGGTAATTTCAGGAACCGTTGGCTGACTTGATCTCTTTCGTACCAAAATATTATACTGTTACTATACTATAGTAATATGCGTACTATACTGTTTACAGTCTGTGCTTATGTGGTGTTTCTGTTGAGTTTCTTGTCTTGGTTAAATAGTGTTAGATAATTTTGTGCTATGATCTGCTGTTTTTTTCATAGTGGCCATGTGTGTAGTGTTTACTGGTTGTGGTTATGTTGTTGTAAGAATGCATTAAAAACAGATGTGACAGATTTGGTGCCCACATAATTCTAGCTTAAAACAGAATTTCAGCACTACATTTTAAACTGTTGCCATTTTTATGTTTTTGTACTTGGTCTAAGACATTCACTCTATGTATCCAATTCATTTTTATTTCGCTCTTTGTCTAGTCTCGACCTAAAAAAATTCCAAGGAGATATGAGTTGTGTTGAACTGAAATAGTTATTTGTTAGTCACTGAAATAGAGCAGAGCTGTATCTGGGCCATATGTTTGTTTTTATGATGTATTTGAGATTTGTTTCTTCACGATTCTTCAATGAGTATCATAAAGCTTTCCTCAATGACATTTTTACTGTTGCTGTGCTGTGTAGGTGTATTGTGAGTGAGAGGGAGTGTTTGTTTTTTTTTGGAATTCAGGAATATTCTGTTTCTTTTTTTCTTTGTGTAGGGTATGTTACATGGTCATATGTGTATATATACAGTATAGCCCATATTTCTAAGTTAACTGCAAACCCTTTTTCAGAATTTGATTTTTGGAGTGTTTGGTGGAACAAAATTAGTATTTCAGCAATTATAGTACTGCCTGCCTGATACTGAACCTAAATGGGTTATTTCCATGAACTTGACTAATACTGTGACCAAACCTGAGAAAATGAAAGAATGTCTGGTTGAATAATTGAAAACAAAATTTAAATAATTGATAATAACTTAATTGATTTTAAATTGAAGTTTAGTAATGTTTTAATTGAAGTGGCAATTTGTTCATTACTACAGCACAGTAAAATTTGAAGATAAATTTGTGTGTCGTTTCATAATTTGTATACTGTTGTAAGACATTTTAAAACTAAATATTAAAATACAAAATATGCATAGAACAGATTTTGTATTTTGCAATTTTTCGCTTTTTTCATATTTTCACAACACATTGACTGGTATTGAGATTATTATTTTTATTTGTGCCACACAACATTTAGTTGTTTTGGTTGACTTCCTTACAAAGGAAACCACTCAGTATTAGATTTAAAGTGAAACAAACCTATTTATTTTAGTTAAAAAAGCTAAAATATTGTTTATATCGGTTATGAGAAACAGATATGTGGACTATGTGAATATAGTGATAATGAGGATTTGGGCAAAATGTGCAATAAATAAATAAATATATAATTGAATAATTTAACTTTGCTGTATCATGCAGAATTCCACTCAATTTACTAAATTACATTAAAGTTTTTCTGCATGATGATTGACACTCAAACATTCATGGGCATGGTTTGAGGCCGTTTCATGAAAATGACCCAAATACCGCCCTTTAACTGATGTTTTCTTCTTGTAAATGATCTAATCTCAGTGTATTACACCTTCCTTAGTGTCCATGTGCAGTAGTGGCAGCCCATACCATGAGGTGAAGCGAATGGAGAGGCGGCTCCGCTCGGCCTCGGAGGGTGCTGGAGGACCCAGGCTTCACCTCAACCTCAAAGAGCCTCACTGTATGGAGGCCAGTACCCTGGCCAAACAGAGAACCAACTCCTCGTCCTCCAAACTGGGCAGCATGGTAAGATTTTAATTTACCAATAGATCACTCAATAAATTTACCACAAATCTGGTGCAACTAAACTAAGCCTGGAAGAAGAAACTCTTCCACAAGGGCAAGCCCAACCCTCCTCTTACTGTCCTGGAAGATCTTTTACGAACTTAATCTTTGTCCAGACACTACCTAGAACCATCTTTAAGTAAATTAGCCTGGTTTGAGCTATTTGAGCTGAAGCAAAAGCGCATACCACGTGCACTTCAGCTTTCTAAGAGGAAGCAGCCCCACCTCTGGTATAGACTTAGCTAGCTTAGTCCTTCACTCCATCCTTTAAAAGATTAGATTCTCACCCAGGGATAAAATCACAGCACTTAATTGAACAGACAAATCCTCTCACGCAGGGCTGCTCAGCAACTCAGCAGTGCCTGCTAGCTGCTGTAGTCTGCTCTTGTGGTATGTGTAAAGCAAAGTCCTCCTTTTGCCTGCCCTTCTGTGACAGATCTCTTACTTCAGCACCTTGGCTGACTAAGCGTAGGTGTCCTTTCCTCAACAAACCAATGCATGAAGGCCTGCATGTAAATGAGTATTTTTAATGTCCCTGATCAGGGACTTTGCTGTAATTACACAGTGGCAATTGTATGAGAAGTTGTGAAGAATAATTTCTTATGTCTGGGGTCAGCCCAGCCTCTCCTGTGCAGGTGTAGTGTGGAATCACCTCTGGCATTAGTTGGTTGCTTATTTTAGTGAATATTCCAGTAGTTTTAGAGGTTAGATTTACCTTGTATAAAGTAGTTTCTTAATGTTAAATCTTTAAGGTAAGAGAACACAAATCTGAGCAGTAGTGCCAAGCGATATACTGTCAGTATTGGTATAGTGTTATTGCTGTAGAACAACAATATTGATTTTTGAGTTTCAGTGGTATTTGGTGGTTAACAAAAATTATATCCATGAAAACATTCTATTCCTGTTGCCAAGCACTTTCATTTTATTTTTTAAATTCTCTGTTATTCAGGAAGTTATTGTTCTTTTTTGGATATTTGCTTTCTGTGTAGTTAATGTTTACAATGTGTAAGGTTCCATTTGTAATTTTAAGGGGAACCTTTAAGAGGAAGCTGAACAGAACAAAAATGATCCCATCACTAAAAGTTATGTCAACTTTATAAGATATTCTTGTACTGTAGAGTACCAGTACTTCAGAAGCATGAAGTAAGAACAGAAACACTGTTAATCCAAGCTTAAGTATCATCTCACACTGTGATGCCATGGTATGATATTGTGATATTGATTAATTTATTTTTTTTCCATCCAGCATTACTAAACGATTATCAAAACCATAATCATAACTGTCCTGAAATGTAACCATGTACACTGTACACTCACTGGACACTTTATTAAGTGTATATTCTCATTATATCTACACTCATATATTCATATCGCCCTTATTTCTACTCATATACTCATATTTACCTTATATCTGCACTTTTATACTCATATCTACCATATTACTATGCTTATATACTCATATCTGTCCTGTTTCGGCACTCATACACTCATGTCTACCTTATATGTACATTCATATACTCATACCTACACTCAAACGCTTATACACACCTTATTTTTTAACTTGTGTACTCATATCTACCGCATATGAACACACATACTGTTGCTGTCTAAAAAATGTATCTCATTTTTTGTCGATTTTTATTTTTCTGCGTCATTTGAACCTGGCAACATACTTTACATCGTTCTGTACATTTTGTGAAAATTTTATGATGAATGGACTAATAGAAAAGCTCCAAAATCACTTATAAAATCTATCTACATGAAAAGTGAAGGATGTTTTTGACTGTTTTGAAGATGCATTTTTTTTTTAACAGCAGCTATATACTCATACATTATATGGCCAAAAGTATGTGGACACCCCTTATAATTAAGTTCAGATGTTTCAGCCACAGCCACCGCTAATAGGTGTATAAAATCAAGCACATCGCCATGCAAACACCACAGAGCTCAGTGACTTCAGACGTGGCACTGTCATAGGGTGCCACCTTTACCACAAGTCAAACTGTGAAATTTCTCCCCTGCTAAATCTGACCCAGGCAGCTGTAAGTGCAATTATTGTGAAATGAAAGGTTCTAGAAGCAACAATAACTCAGCCTCAAAATGGTAGGCCATGCAAACTCACAGAGCAGGGCTGCTGAGTGCTGAAGCACTAGTTGTGTATTAAAATCTTCTGTTGCATCAGTCACTACAGAGTTTCTAACTGCCTCTGGAGGCAACATCAGCTCAAGAACGGTGTGTCTGGGTTTCCATGGCTAAGCAGTTGTACACAAGTCTAAGATCACTATGTTCAGTGCGAAGCACCGGATGGAGTGGTGTCTGCATACTTTTGGCCATATAGTGTATCTACCTTATATCCACACTCATATCTTGATATATTTCTTATATCAGCACTCATATACTCAAGATCTTCAAAAGACCACCATCGCCCAGGTTTTATTTGGGTGGTGGATCATTCTCACTACACAGAGTGGATCACACAAAGCAGTGCTTCTGGAGTTTTTAAACACCTCAGTGTTACTGCTCAACTGAGAATAGTCCACCAAACAAAAATAGTCCACCAACAGAAACTGACCACTGATTAAGGAATAGAGGATAACAGGCACAAACTGTGCAGCAACAGATGAGCTGTCATCTCTGACTTCTGCGTTTACAAAGTGGACCAACAAGGTAGAAGTGTTTAATAGAGTAGACAGTAAGTAGACAGTAAGTCATACTAACACTGCTGTGTCTGATCCACTCTTACTAGAAAAATAATCAGGAAAAGCCTATTGAGATATGTTGTCTTATAATTGTGATTAGACTATCCAAATAAAGTATGTTCTCTTTAACAAACTATGATCTCTTTCACTTTTAGAGTGATCATTTATTCATTGTGTTAAAATTGTTTTACATGTATATTTGAGGATACACACAAGGTTTCAGCCTCACTTTTAAACCAAATATTCCAGCATATCTGCTGTTGTCAGTTAGCATTGGAGTCTCAGACTCTGAGCTATTTTATGGTTTCTGGCAAAATGCTCAGCTCTCTAATGTGGCCGTCAACCATTGTCAAGAAAACTGTAAGACATGAGCTACTCAGTACTGCTTGCTATATGCAATGCTAGATAATTTATTGGTGCCTCTTGGCTTTTTAATCAGCATTTTATCCCCTCTAACAAAACTCTCCACAGCAGTTACCAACAACATTTAGAATTTCAAGCATAATATTAACACACATCACCGTATCATTAGCAACACTTCTGGTAGTAATAAGTCACTAAGTTATCTTAGCAGTTCTCATTTTGGAGATGCCGTCTTCTGTATTATTTTTACCTTATACTTATTACATATTAAACAGATCCCTGAAGATTATGAGCTCCAATTTTTACTTCAGCTTTTATTGGTTAATGCTGATTATGCTGGCCTTTTTACCTTTGGAAGAGTCAGCAGATCTTGCTGTATTTTTAACATTCTCTACGGTGGGCAGAGATGCCAGGTCAAGTAAAAAATTCCAGTTTGCTTAAATGCCACTCACCAGAAGCTGAATCTTTATCATTTTCAAACAAACCCAATTTGGCATGAGAACCATGGACCTGGCAACCCTGATGGTAGGTGTGCCACAGCATAATCAATGAAAACTGAAAGTGCGCCATTTTACATAACTACGTCTTTTGAATGAGTGCACATCCTCTGCCCTAATCATAACTTGTTTGACGTGAAGAACTCCGATAATGTGTAAATCTCACATATACATGGAACGAACATATAACAATATAATAATAGAGATCACATTCAAAAAGAGGTGGAAAGAGTGGGTATTCTACAAGGGGGGTGGTTGTTGTCTTGTTTTGTAAGTGGGGTGATGGCATCCGTTCGCAGCTTTGCGATACTAATAAAGTGACTAGTGAGTGTGTGCCGTCAGTTTAATGACTTAACTCTTTTTTTCAAAGCTAACTGTACTGCTTTGTCAAAACACAGACTGACAAACACCTGATGAACTCTACTAAAAATAGTTCTGCTTTTGTTACTGGATTTTATCTTGTGGTAAGTGGTGTAATGTTACATGAGAGAACTGTAGGCTTATGAAATGTTACGCAGCTGAACTTGACTTGCTGAGCCATAGGGCACTCAGTGAAGAACTGCAGAAAGCTTATATTCACCAAGAGCTCTTATCATGATTAAAAAATCTGTTGTAGCTTAAAGGAAAACAGCACATGTGAAATATGAGATTAGTTTTTTCTTTTTTTTGTCCCGAAATTTTGCCGCAAAGAGCATCATAAATAGTCCACCAGACTCCAGTACTCTCAATAGGGCCTGGCAGTGCAGTAGATATAAGACTATTAGGGCCAAATTCTTCTGAAGTGGTGCATAAAACCAGGCAGGAAGTAAAATATACAGGCCTGGCATTGTTTTGGCTTTGCAGTATATTTATCACTGCTGCTTATATTAATTAGCAGCAGTGTAATGCAATCAATACAGTTACCCCACAGCAATATGAGAAAGAGATTTGCAGCCTTTACAGCTCATTCATAGCCAAGTGAAGTTTTAAAAAGTAGCATAATGTTCCTGTACCTTACTGGAAGAATCCACTGTATTGCAACTTGTGTTTTTTCAAGAGGAAATTCCATGCTGTATTATTTTTAGAAGTAACTGATGGAGAATTTTAGATTTTCCCTGAAGAAAGAAGGACGCCTCTCGTTAGGTTTTAACAAATGATTCTACATACTGATATGGCCATTCCTTATTTTACCTTGTAGTACTGTGTAATTTGACAATTATTTGTTTGTTTTCTTCAAATGTACTGTAATTTCATATATGCATATTTTTTTAGGGCTGTCAGATGTTTGAAATAATCTAAAACAGCATTATTTAACAGAATAAATAATTCACAAGTTAATCACATTTATCTTATTTGCTCGATTTTCACACTAAAATACTTTTTTTTTCTTCATTTTTCCAACAGTACAGTTAAATTTTGTAAT